ACATAGCTTCTTGGTGGGTGATCTGCCTGGGAAGCAGGGTACAGTTGGGGTTCCAAGTATAGGAGGGGGGTGGGGTGTTCTGGATAGAGAGCAAAGGAGCAGCTGAAATGCTGCCCAATCACCCCAGTACCTAGCTATTCACTGCCAGCATCCCAGGTGCCATAACAGCCACTCCAGCCCCTCTGAGTCCTGCTCTTGCCTTCACCTCCAGAGCCCTGCCAGGCCTGAGCATGTGAAATAACTCACTTAAGAACAATGTGCAGGGTGGAAACATGGAGCAGACCCACAATAATTCCATTGTGGGAGCTCTGTGTCCTTGCTTCTGCCCAGTTGCTGTTGACAACCTGATATGGGGCACACATAGTGTCCCTGCCTTTCCGGCTGTGCTGATGACTTTATAAAAGATTGCACTGATGTAACAGTTGACTAAGTCCTGAGCCATATGGACATTAAAAATGTTTGCCTGCCACTCCCAATCCTCTATCAGATTTCTTTTTTTATGCCCACCTTTCTGATTAGAACCTTCCTGGCCTCAGGGACTTGGAGCCAGCTGGAATCTTGGGCCAGCTGGCAATTGTCAAAAGGCATTACTAAGGTGCCACAAGTACTCCTTTTCTTTTTGCGGATACAGACTAACTCTGAAAACTAACTAGAGGGTGGCTAGGGGTGAAACTGATCTTGTTTCAGTTCCTAACAAAGAGCTGTCACCGCCACAAGAGCTAAGAGCCTCCGCCAAGCCTTGGGAAGGCCGGGCAATTGCAATATTCTCTCACCCCTAGATTGTAAAGATTTACTCTTCAATAGAATAAGGCGTTACTAACACAGGTAATGAAAAGGTTTTTTTAAATACATAGGGCCAGGTTAATCACTGGTATAAATCAATAGTTATACCAGAAATGAATTGCTGTGATTTTTCAGCTGGCAGTGTCACTAAGTTCTATAGTCTCCTAAAGGACAGCCTGTGGCCCTAAGACTAGAATGATAAAATTCCCCTCAGTAGAGTGAAGTTTTATTTATAAGTTCCATTGTTTATAGTAGCAACCAGATCTTATGCTTGATTACCTGAACACATTCCAACAAACATAAAAGCCCCATGCTCAGGGGCTTACCCATGCAGAGCTAAATGCAGCATTGGGACTTGCATATTTCAGTAAACAAAAAAAATGTAGTCTAAAGGCCCTATCCTGCAGAGATCTAAGCACCTGCTTTGCTTAACTTTATGCCATTGAAATCAGTGAGAAGACTGGTATGTGTATAAAGGTTTTTGCAGGATAGGGGCCTAGACTGTCATTTCGAACTAGTAGTAATGTGGAACCAACATAAGCACTTGATAAACTACTGACAATTTTAAAAATCAATATTTCACTAATAATTCTACTGCTAGTGAACTCCAAATTCATATAAAATCAAGGCAATGGATACTCAATTCTGAAACAGAAGTGATGGTGGCATCTCTCTCAAAAAATGTAACTGATCTTAAACTCAAAGCTAAGAATATTCTCACTCTGCAAAACTTAAGTGGTTAATTTTAAAGCTACGAAGGAGGGGTTAGTTTCAATGTACTGTGTCAAATTCATCCACTGACACTTTACTCAGGCAAAACCCCATTTCTCTTCAGTGGGAGCTTTGGATGAATTTGGCCCATGGCTGCCTTTAATACCCAACAACACTATATCCTGCAGTGCTTATTTAAAAGATCCTATTGAAGTCAAGTTAAGAGAAAAATTCATAATAAACTATGGTACCAAAGACTGATACTTTCATTCTCATTAGATTAATGCAGCTTAGCACGTTCTGGTCCAATTCTGATCTTGCATCAGTGCTAATTGGAAATAATTCCATTGAAGTAAATGATGTAAAACCAATGCAAATTCAGAATTGACCCCATTTGGCTGTTGGTTAGCACACAGAAGAAAGAACCAGGATGTCTGGGTTTTATTCCTGATCATGAACCTATTCCTGCACCATCGAAGTCCATGGGACTGTTGCTATTTACTTCAGTGAAGCAGGATCAGGCCCTTAGCTGAGTTTGCGGCAATCTACAAAATGGGTAGAATAAAATTTACCAACATACCAGGGGTGCCTGTAGAGGCATTTGAGGTCCTTATGTGAAAGGCAAGCAAGAGCAGAGTATTAAAGATTAGTTTTCAACCCGAAGTAGACAAACTAAACTTCACCTTATTTCCGACGCAGTATGCAAAAAGGTGGACACAGAACCTGTCAACAAGCTTTTTTGTGTGCACGCGAAGATATAAAAGATAGATTCAAGGAAAGAGCCTTCATCTCTCAACTTCATGGACACTCACAGGGAAGCATTGCAGGTGCAAGACAGACACCCCAAAAGTTATTTTGGGTAGTCCTGAGAGATTTATGGAAAAGTGGCAGATTACTACATCTCTGCTATCATTTTGGACTTACAAACTTTGACTCACCTGTTAATGTATTTTACCAGCTTTAACCTCCCAACTGATTTTTTTCTTCACTAATAAACTATTAGCTTATTAGAGAAATTGGCTGTCAGCATTGTCTTTGGTGTGAGACTGAGTATCTATTGACCTGGGGTAAGTGCCTCACCCCTTTCGGGTTGGGAGTAACCTGAAATGGTGTGATTTTTGGTTTTAAGAACCTCTTATTACTAAGTTCAGTTTTTCTGGGTGGCAAGACAGGTTGGAGGGTCGTAAGGAGATTGTCTGTGACTCCATGGTAATACTGGTATGGTGATCCAGGAATGCACATTTGTTACTGGCTTGGTGAAATTTAATTATAGTATTATTCCTGGGTGAATTCTATACCAAAAAATCAAATTCTTCACAAAATATTTTAAAATTCCGCATATCTTATTTGTCAAAACACAACATAATCTGACAGTTTCAATTATTTTGGTAACTTATGTCAAAATACCTGTCAGCAAGCATGTCAATACAGACAAAGATTCAAGAAACATTTTTTTTTACAAATAGATCCCATGCTAGGCATATTAAAATGGATCTTTAAGTAAGTCCTTTAAACTACAATACAGAAACTTATTTCCCACGCCCCTCAGAAGCAGTGCAAAGGAGGAGCTAAAGGAGAGGGAAGTAATTGCTGGTCAGGAGCCTGTGAGTGAACCTGAAGGGTTGTTGGGTGTGGGTGGGAGAAGTATGGAAGATACGGGGGTTTTTTGGGAGGGGAGAATTGTTAGAGATGGGGAACCTCTCCTATGCAGACCCTGGTTGATTGCTGCTCTCCCATTCAGTCAGGTATATCTATATCCATTCCCATGTAGCCCTGCATTCCTCCCCCATTCAGTCCCTGGCTCAGTGCTATCACCTCACTAGCTCTTCTGAACTAGTCTGTGACCTCTTCTCTTCTCCCCCCACACTCCCCATCCCATGCCTCCTCACTTGGCCCCATGGGCAGGGTACTGTGAGGGAAAGCAGCCTTTCCTTTACAGCACAGGATGAGCACACAAAAGGGTCGGAGTGCTGGGCTCAGACCTGCCTTACGCCTCCTGTGTAACAGTGGGCAAGCCACTTAACAGCCCCTTGCTAAATTACCCTTATCTGTGAAAGGGACCAGCATTTTTTTTCATTCCCTTTAGGAGTATGTGGTGTCACTCAATTAGATTGAGAACAGAGATTTAGAGTTGACAAAGAAGTGAGAATAGAAGTCATGACCTCACCACTCAGCCCTGTATTAATTCCCCTGAGCCAAGCAGGGATTCTGGTGAGGAAAGCAAAAAGAGAACAAGTCCTTTAATTAGATCTTGGGTTTTCCAAAAACATCTGGAAAGTTGTCTCAGCCAGTATGAGTAGTTTCCTACACACACACACACACAGTGCTTTGTTCCTTAGGTGTACACTTAACCAACTCAGCAACACTCTATTCTGCATGGTGCAATTTTTGAATGTTCATAATTCAGTCAAATCAAACCAACTGCTGCCAGAACAAGACTCTGTGTCTCACTGAGGACTATTGTCCATGCAAAATTGCAACGTTCAAATGATCATTTTGGCTGCAGGGCTGTTAAAAACAGGATCCAAAATGTTATAAATGGAAATGCATTTTTTTCAGTCACCTCTCTCTCAAAGGGTTGAAATGTCTTTGCTTGAACTTTTCACAACCAAAAGTTATCCTTTAGGAAGAGGAGAAGCATGGAAAATCTCAAACACCCAAACCCTCCAAGAGCGTGTGTTACAAAGCTCTGTCTGTCCAAGAACAGGGCTCTAGACCAGAAACCGTTTTACAACTTTAACTATCGTGATTGCTGCTGCTCTAACTACAATATCTGTTTAACAAAACTGCAGCTGTTTCACCACAGACCACATCTCTCTCTCCTGTTTATGGTGCGCCATAAACAGCTTAATGTAAGACTATTTCTCAAACTTTTCAGGTTGGCAACCCTTTATTTGAAGTCAAATTTTTGCAACCCCCTAAATCAGTGATACTCAGAACTCAGAGTTTCAGGAGCCAAATTAGTGATCAACATTACCCAAAAGAGCCACAGGTGTGTGAATTCATTCTTTCATTTACTATAGCGCTATATATTCAATCACAGTGTTTTAATATGATGTGCAGCAAAGAGCCGCAGGAAATACATTATAGAGCCACTTGCAGCTTGAAAGCCTTAGTCTGAGTATCACTGCCCTAAATTTTCTGTAAAAGTTAAAAAAAATAACAATCTATTAAGGATAAACCCATATACCATAATTCATTTGTGTTTTGAGGGAGTGACAGGGAATATTTGATCTTGAAAAGTAACGGTGTGGGAGAACAAGATTTTTGGTTTAGACTGTTATAAATTTTTCAACACCTCATGGATCCCTGTGGGTCACAACCCCTAGCTGAGAAACACTGATGTAAGAGGAATCGGAGCTGGTATGAATATTAACTGGAGGAAGTGGCACTGTATTTCATGCTACAATTAGTCACAACACTCTACATACATTTTTGAATCCAGACACACTAGAACAAATTTTTGCATCAACACTGAGAACTTTATAACTATGGAAATCAGCATCAATGGTTGGATTAATATTTTAATAATTACACACTTTTTACATTATGAAAATAAGTCATAAATAGTGTAAAAATAATTCTGAAGATCAACTTCTCACAAGCTAGGACCAAAAACCCAAGTACAAAACTCAAAACAAAACAATATTAAAAACTGAAAACCAAGGAGAAACTTTCAAAACAAAACCAAAACCATGCCATTTGAACCAGAGGCCACAATAAAGTGGAAATAACAAATTAAAATGGATTATTTAAACATTGCAATTATTTACACTACTGGGCAAAACAGGTTTTGTGCCATTATTTACAGTGATAAGACACTCCAAAGAGTTGTAACAGAACTGATTACATGAGACTGACCCAATGTTTTCCCAAAAGCAGTGTAACTCTTGCCAAATTACTTTTCATTGCATTTTCATGTCCTCTACTGTACTTACAAGAGACCATTTGCAATACAAAAATAACTGCACTTATAGATGAAAAAAGTAAAAAATACAAATAAAAATATATAATATTTTCCAAAGGAAAAAAAGTCAGATACATACATCTTTAAAAAATGTTATTAGGCAGTATGATATTATATTTTCCCAAACATGTACAATAATATAAGAATATTCACATAAATGTTAACAATATGTAAACATTCTTCTTCTACAAACCAACCTCTTCAATAATACTTCAGAGAAGTGTGCAAGTACCAATGGTATCTGGGAAATTCATATAACTTCTTGGTTAAACAAATAAAACACTAAAGGTCCCAGGTTGGGTAAGGCCCCCATTCTCCAAAGAAAGACAATTGTTTCTAAGCAGCATTAACTTGATATATTTAAAATTACAAAACAAACAACACTCCAGAAGGTTATTTTTAATATGTTACTCCACAAAAGAAGTGGAATCTATGTTCAAATTCTATCAGAAATGAAGGTGGCAGACACTTGTTTGCAACGTCATTTAATTAATGCAACCACCACGTAAAATACTTCAATAACAGAAGGTTTGAGAGAATCTTTGTTTTCATATTACTGTAACATCGATTCATAAAAACAAGTTGCCATATGAAAGAAAACAATCAGATGATAGGCTTATTATTTTAATGGCCCCAGGAAAATGAATCAGAATCCAGAACCACCATACTCCATGCTTGCTTCTGACGTGTCTCTTTGCAAAGATCAGAACTTCTGTGAGATATTTTTTTTTTCCCTTTGTAAAAACTGAAGTATTCTCCTCAGGTAAAATGTAAAGATACAGATTTACCAATACATTTGTATGATGGACAAGTAGTGGAGGTAAGGAAGTTTGAAAGAAAATGTCAACTTCTGCATGTCCTGTAGGACCTTATTCGTTTTCAGAAAAGCGATATTGTTCCTGCATCCACAGTCCCATTGAAGTCAATGGATTTTCTCTCACGATTAATAATGCTTAGCTCTTCTATGCACTTGTAATTAGTTGATCTCAAAACACTCTACAAAGGAGGTAAGTAGTATCATTATCCCCATTTTACATGTGGGGAAACTGAGGCACACAGTGAAGTGACTTGCCCAGCATGGCAGTGGCACAGCTGGGAATAGAATCCAGGGAATGAAACCATGGTGTAAGTCAATGGAACAACTCCCATTCTCTTCAATGGGGCCAGGATTTCACCCCATTTCCTCTGACTCCCAGCCCAGTGCTCTAGCCATTAGACCACACTGTCTGCTCTTAAGCAGTTAAGAACTGCCAGAGGCAGGGTTGTAGTATGTCCCACTGTCATCATCAGACAACAAATACACAGAGGTACCTAATTTGTGTGTATTCAATATTATAAAGCTTCAATTTTTCACACTGTACATAACACTGACTCTTGAAGATAACCCGTTTTAAGCTATTAGAGCACATATACTTCTTTTTATGGATGCAGACATGCTGATTTGACCTCTTTCAAACTTTCCAAGAATACTTCTATGGTATACAGAGAACACACATATAACAACAGCTGGATGCACAGAGTCATTCTGCCTCACCAGATTGTCAGACAGTGACATCAAAATCACCAATACACTAAAAAAATATTAAAAGAAAAATAACTTATCAATATCGTGAACGAATGTTTCAGGCTTTACTTTGTAAAAATGAGGTTTAAAAGCATCCTGTAAGAAAGTTCTCCCCCCCCCCTCCGTAATTAGCTTATGAAAATAAAGACAAAAGGCCACTGTTCAATGTGACTGCAATACACTTAAGTTAAAGATACATAAGAAGATTGGTACCAAACAAATACTGAAAACCTTAAACAAAGGAACAAGAAATAATCACAAAAACAAAGCGAAGGATACAAAACCTAAGTAAATTCATGTCCTCTACACATTTTTACAACTAAAAAGGTTGGTAGATGAACCACTGTTTCTGCATATTCACAAAATTAAACAAAGCAAATGAGGAATGCTATTAAAACTGTAATAATAAAAAAAAGGTGGTTCGAACCAAAGCTGTACTGCCAAACAAAAACAATGATATACCGGTAATAGCACCAAAACCAATTGTCTTTAAACTAAACAAACATGTTGCAAGTCTTCAGAGGGTGCTTTTCGTTATGAAATATTCAACTTGAGCTATTTTGTCTATACTACACATCAACCTTTTCTAGATTCCCCCCTGCTTTGCATGCTGTAGGCACCTTTTCAATACCACTTAATAGGTATGTATTACTATTCTAATCTGACTGGTTATATTGATAACGCTGCATGTCTACCCTGTCATTTCAGTGGAATGATCCTTTCCTGACGTTAGCCAAAATCCAAGACACCGTTAACAGACAGCAGAAGCATTCTTACCCGGAGGGAGTAAAAATAAGCAATTTATGTTACTTATTTTTGTTTTTAAATTTACAGATACAGGTATTCTGTGGGTCATTGTGTTACTGACTATCGCACACTTACACCAGAGCTGAATGTGCCCTGTGTTGAAGTCACCAAGTACTATCACCAGAACTGTATGTACGGTGATATTCCACACGAGGGGAGCCTCAACACAAGTATCGGAATGAAGGCTCATGCTTTTCTTGTTTACAAAAGAGGATTTATAAAGTTGATGTCAAGTCAGGTACAGCAAAAAATATTGGGGTGATAAGGGACAGCACGCATTTAATAGTGCGTTAGCTTGGTGCGAACGCCTTGAAATGACTCACTTTCATGGGCAATTCCAAGTTTTTGCGACCATATTCAGCATGCTAACATGGTAGTAACCTTCCTCATTTATTCTGCAAGCACAGAATGTGAGGGAGAACATGCATGTATCCTGATTTTTTCACTAAAACTAGCGGACTCCATGCTATTTATCTTAATGTCTTAGCTAACGGGGCAATTTTTCTCATTAGAAGATCGGAATTACCATACTGCACTGGACAATAGACCATCTAGTCCAGTAACTTGCTGCTGGTGGTTCCCAGAAATTGGTGTGCCACAGAAAGATGCTACTTCCAGTCCCCATATGCATAATGCACTTAATCATTATGTGTCATTTTAGGACATGGACAGCAGGATTCTCTCCTGTTAAGAGGACAGCCTGAAGGTTTCCCAAGAAACCAGAATAAAACTCGGAGGTGGCAGGGTGGAATGCTGCTTTTGCCCGTTCCTGTAATCCCCTTCATGGGTGAAACTTCCATACTGGAACACTCAGACTTAAAACAGTACATAACAAGCCTGTGCAAGGGTTGCAAGATCAAGCTGTTGGTGGTGGTTGTTACTACTTTTTAAGTAGAGTAAAACATCCATTTCTAGCAAAACATCACTGGGCCTTTTAAAAAACAATTGCACCTGGAAGCAGGCTCTCTCTAGGAAACTAAAATGGAGACTTATGAAAGAAATCATCTTTATAGAAGTAAAAAAATTAATTATTCTCTCTCCTTGAAAAGCTATTTTCTTGACATGGTTTTGATATATTGAAACGGCATTAAAAATATTATGCAGAATGAAAGAAATGCCTACAGTGTGGGTTCTAGTGACTTGAGATTCTAATGTAGTAGTAACTATCCACTTGAGAGTGAAATCATGAAAGGTCCCCACTTCCAGATGATCTACAAACCCACTGAGCAACAAATTATGCATATTTCCAGGAATGGCAGGGTGCCTAAACATTGATGGAGAAATACTCTTTTTCTGCAACTCTGTTTTTGGTCTGCCTATAAAATGAACTCTCAGAAATGTATATTAAAAGTTTGTGATCATCTCAATATGCACATTATTTGAACAGATCTAAAAAGGATTTGCATCTATCAAATACAGAATTGTTTCATGCAAATTAATCTCTTAATCTGACCACAAATACACCATATGAAGACTCAAAACTGTAACTGAAACAAACAAATTTTCAGGGAGGCTCAAACTACAAACTATGCACCAATTCAATGTTTCCAGTAATCAAAATGCAGCGAAACAAAACAGTTTCTGCTTCTTTTGTGTACTAGTCACTTGATCAGAAATGGAAAAATAATTACACCTTATAGAGTGTATTGTGACTACCATATCATGATAATCACTTGGGCTCACTCCTTTTCTACATTCTTTGGGTAACCATGTTCAGCAAGATCATTGCAATTGCAGAAAAAGAACTATGTGAATAAATCAGCTTGTGAAAGTAAAATGAAATAACTTTTTTTCCAATTTAAAGGCTTCAGAGACTCTAAAAATAGATAATACTGAAACAAGAGGAACACATGGTGTGAAGTACTTCCTTCAATGCCTAAATATTTGTCACAACAAATCTGAAAGAGGCTACTGAAATTAATCTTCTGCAAGTTTTGAAAGCTATGGTTAATTTTGTTTCATTCCCCCCCCACAAAATACAAGAGTCGTGTAATTTAAATTGGATAATCCAAAGCACACACTACAGTACATACAGATCCCATCAGTTTCATTAGTCCATAGAAGAGTGTTCTAAGATTCCCCATTGCCAAGAATGCTTTCCTTTAGCAACCCAAAAATACAATATGTGCTGCAATCCTTGAATCAGACTGAGAAGTTTCTAATCTCAAATGGGGCCTGCGGTCAAACGATCCACTTGGCATCTTTTCAACCTTTTCAAACTGCCCACAGAGGAAGTCTGGTTTCTCCTTCAAACTTCTTTCCTTCTTGGTTAAACAGTTGACAGCACTTGGCATCTAAACCCATCTATCTTGAATGTCTTCGTGACAGTGAGCAGTGCAAGAAAAACCAATGCTGATCAACAGGCATGACCCCTTTTTGACCAAGGGGGGGTGCACATGACCCACACAACTGGAAGCCATCCACCTGCAGTTGGAACTGTGTTCCCCAAAAATTCAAGACCTTTTTCTAATCTCCTCTCCTTTATCTCTTTTTGGCAATAAGCCACGGTGTGACTCCCTTGAGATAACAAAAGGAAATAATTCAGAACTTTGGATCAAAGGTCACAGTGAGCAGCCATTTAGCATGTGGAGTGATCACACAACAAGCAGGTTTAACACACAATTCATGCTTTTTTTTTTTTTTTTTAGTCTGTACAAGCAGGGATGATGGCATGAATCAGTGATGGTGTTTAAGATGAACATGGAAGCAAAGTCAGTAAATTCCAATGACAGTTGGTACAGTGCATTTCATAGCATTTAGCTCATATTTGGTCACAATTTCATGTAAACTAGTTAATGGCACTCATTGTCCATGCAGGTCCACAAGCCAAAAATAAGAGAACTTGCAGAAAAAACTAAATCTCCATGATTTATCTCTGTATAGATATCTCTATAGAGAGACTAATCTTTATTTTTGCAGATTTCTCCTGTGGTTATATATATTGCCTAACTGCAGATGTAAGTGAAGAAAATGTACACATGGACTACTGCAAACAAGTAGAAGCAGCTACATGTAAACATATCTCAGACTTGTAAAATAAAATTTCTGTTTTCAACTATAAATACAAAAAGTGGAGTATTATACACAACTTCATGCTTCTAAGGTTAGATTCATCACTGCAAAGAGACAAAAAGAGATAAATTGGCCAGGTTAGTACTCTAGTAGCCAAACTTCTATTCCAAGTATATAAAGATAGGGCAGAACCCCAAACATCTTTTATTCTCTAAGCCACAAATGTGCTTCCAAAATGCCTATAATACTTTTGTGGGTTTTTTTAATTATTGTTCAGAGATGCGGTCACAAAAGTGCCTCTGAATAACTCTTTCTGGGAAACTAAGAATCACTGATTTAATGTGCATACCTACTTCAGTTGTCAGTTACCTAAAGAATTATAGGCAGATACTGACCTCTTTTGAGAAGAAAAACAATGCTTATTATCCTGGGAAGCAAATAGTGGCTCCTGTTTACCTCTAGCAACAAGATGGGTAGCTGTGTAAACACCACCATCAATTTTAGATCTGGTCATCTTCAAATATGAGTAACAAATAGCTTCAAGTACTACAGCAACTCCGGAGTTGATTTGCCTGTTTTGAGAGCCACAGCTGAAACAGTGCCTCTAAATTGTCAAGAGAGGCACTAGTTAAAGGGAAGCTGCAGGTGTATTGACTTTCTCTGCAAATACAGCTACACTTCCGCACACGTTTTCCCAGCTTAGAAGTAGAATTTTTATTTTCAGTTTAACCTACACATTGTTTCAGCTTTGCACATAGGGCTAACCCTGCTCTGCTCTGCAGTAGCTGGCTTGGGGGTGGGCAGGTTGGGAAAAGGTAGAGCAGCTCACTGTTGGCGATGTATGATGTCCCGCTCTATAAAGCAGGACAACTCAGTGCAAGCTGCCACAGTATGCTGCTGCCCACTGAGTGGTGTTTATAGCTCCTCTTAGCTGAATAACTTTATACCTGTAATCTGTTGCCAGTCAGCACGCCTACTACTGGCAGCATACCTGCTTCCTGGCTTGAGGGCTACACTCCCTCCTGATCCACAGCTCCACCTGCTAACTGGTGTCTTTCAAATAAAATATTCAACACTCTTCATTATTAGCCAGACTCTACTATGTGACCACAACTATCCAGAATCATCTTTTGAAAAATGCCTGGGGTGAAATCCTGGCTCCTCTGAAGTCAATGAGAGTTTTTCCATACCCAGACAGGATTTCACACATGGTTTATTCTTTCAAGTGAATTCATGCATCAGTATTCAGAGAGGAATAAATATCTGTTAACGGATACATTTGCTCTGAATGCTGATGCTTTTAAATCTAGCATTGTCAGAGTTCGACCATTCAATAGCGGAAATCTTTACTAAGTAACAATGTTATTACCTAGCATTGCTGAAAAATCAGCAGCAAGCAGTAATAAAATGCAACAGCAGACTTTGGGGGTTGGGAAAGAGACAAACAGGAAGCAAGATGCATTGTCCCTTTGGATAACCTAGAAAACCCAAAGCCTGATAGGTCAATATGAACATTTTGGTAAGACTCTGCCACACCCCTGATGGGCAGATCTGATACTGTCTCCCAGCTCATGTGCAGGGGCTGAAGGAGATGTAGCTCTCGCTGTGAGGAAGAATGATGGTCTTTGACTTCTTAGCAACTCAGGTGCCAATTGTTTTCAAATACTGCATAAATCAGTTGCTGTTATAACCTCTACATATTACAAATTCACCATGCAAATAATATTTGAGAAGAGGTTATAACTTGGACTGCTGTGTATTCCAAAATCTGTAAGCTATTCTTACTGAAATCAGAGTGTGTAAGGTCAAAAGGGTTCTCTTATGCCAAAGAAAAGGGATGGTACCTCTATGGAGAAATAATTTGGCACGTCTTACCTTTTGCCAACAGCCAGGCATTGGTAATCCATCCGGCCCCTGTTCCAAGGAAAAAGATAAAAAGTGCATAGATGAGCCGGACAGTATATCTGATGAAACAATCATGCCTTCTTAGCTAATGAATAGCTCCCACTTCCTAACTAATAATTCTGTCAGTTAAGATGAGGAAAATTCCAACATCCAATACAGGCTGAGTGCGTTCACATTGTAAATACATACAATCCGGCCCCTCTGAAAAAATCAAATTCCAAACTACAGTGTGCTTAATCATGGTAAGAACTTTAAATCATAACTGCTTTATTTTTGCTGTCATGGCAACATTATCAGGGGTCAAATCAGCAGAGCTGGATTCACCGCCAGCAGACTATATGTTAATCTAAAGTGTATCTATTATTCATAAGTCAGTGACATTTAGCCACAGATAAGTCAGCAATAGTGTATCGCTTACTGTTTTTGTGGTCCTGGTACAAAGTGCACATGGGAATATGCAAACATGGGAAAGTGCAAACTGCACATGGGAATATTTTCATACACGTTAATTCTTACCTTTATAAAATGAAAACTAAAGGACTGAACCTATTCATACTAAAATCGGTGGGGAAAGTTTCCATGAGAGCAAGGCACTAAGGTAGAAGCTGACTATTCTGTAGCATGCATAACATATGGCTGTCAAGCTATTTGTAACTTGGACTGTGCTAGTTACGAGCACTTAAATATACTCCCAGCACTGTATTCTGTTCTTGCACATCTGTGTCCCCAGTTTAGCTCATGGGACAGATTCTGGTCTTAGATACACAGGTTATAATGTTTTATAATACACAGGTTATAATGTTTTTCCACTGAATGCATCCAATGAAGTGAGCTGTAGCTCACGAAAGTTTATGCTCAAATAAATTTGTTAGTGTCTAAGGTGCCACAAGTCCTCCTTTTCTTTTTGCAAATACAGACTAACACAGCTGCTACTCTGAAACAGGTTATAATGAAGTTATTCCTGATTTACACTGGTGTAGAGGCCCGGATCTTGTAATGTGATGAGTGCACAGAGTCGAGGGAATTCAGCACCTCACAGAATTGGACTATAAATGAGAGGAGAATCAGGCCCCAACCATTTATTAGGTTAAGGGCAATACTACTTCATACTTGGATTTCTTTTCTGCTAACAATTCTGAGAAACAGTGTTTGTGTGTGGGGTGGCTTTATTTATTAATTAATTAATTTATTTATTTTCTGGCAAAAACTACCTGCTTTCTAGAACACGAAACAGTGCTGTTTGTTTAAAAGTTTATTCTGATAACTATCTATCCCACCAATAGAAGAACATTTTCACAGCAGTGGTGTAAGGATTCTCCAGATATAAATGATACTACAAAGACAAACACATTTTTTAATTATGAAGGCATGCTTGATTACCCCCCAACAAAATATGAGATATGGTTATCATTAATCAGAAGCAAACAAAATATAACATGGACTATATACTTCAGATTAAAATTCCATTGACAATTTAGATTAGAAACTTTGTACTTGATATAAAACCTACTTAATTTTAACATTCATCTTTAGATAATCGTGCTTAGCTAACAAACAATATCAGAACATGCAGACCAAATTTAACTGCCAACAATTAAAAACACCTATATCTTGAGCCTTTCGGAAATGTGTATGTACGGTTCAATTTTAATTGGAAAAAATAGAACATACTTAGATTTAAAAAAAAAAAATCTGTGTTGCCAGATTGGTACAAGGGAGAGGGTCAACAAGTAGAATTTTAGTATGGGGGGAACTTGAATTCATGCTAACACAGAGTGGGGGAGTATTGTGTGTATTGCAGGGAGGTAAGTTCCAAAGGAAAGACCATTAAATTGAAAACGTTAAATAACGAAGACAGTGAGGGTTTGGGCTGCAGACCATTATCTTCTTACAAAGCTCAGCTAAGTTTTCTGTTTCAAATTTAAATACTACTCTGATTTATGGGCCCGATCCCAAAATCTTTGTTCATAGGGCCTCATCCTGCAGATCTTACGCATATCTTTGCTTATTGCAAAGCTCTATGATTTAACTTTGACAGATTGATATTTATCTCTTTCTCTGCATAAATGTCATCTTGGCTCAATCCTGAAAAAAAGATGCACTCAAAACTCCCATTGATGTCAGCTGGAGTCAAGTGTGCAGAATCGTTTCAGGTGCAGGTTAGGGTGAAACTAACTCCTGTGCAGAGAGCCAGCATGAGGTCCCCACACCATTTATGTTGTGGGACTTAAATACCGTATGGTCCTTGTGCTGGCTCTCCGCAAAGAGGTGTATTTCATTCTTAGTGAGGAAGGCAAAAGGCATTTGTTGGGAGAAAAAAACAAACAGTGCTGAGGGAAACATTATGTTGGAAGAGCACACTCAAACTACCATGTGATGTGGGAGCAAAATGCTGGGTGTTAGGTTCCAGGTGTTGACAGAATGTGTCTTCTCGATACAGTTATGATTGCTGAAGCAGCTGATTTGTTCATGCACATGCATGTATTAGTGGATAATGTAAAGTCTGCGCAGAAAAACACCACTTTACACTGAGAATGACTGACTATATACAAAGGAATCGCATGCAGGGTTGGTAGGAAAGAGAAATACTGTACCAATTGGCAAGGGGCATCCAGCCCATCCAGGCCTGGCTGGCCTGGCTCCCCTTTTTCCCCCTTAATTCCACGGAATCCCTGTTTGTAAAGATTAACTTGCAACGTTACTGACAAAGAAGTGTCTTTGGTATTTGATTTAACTGGAGCAAAAAAAAAAAAAAAAAAAAGAGATCAAGAGGAGCAAGCTTACAGCAGCAGTGATTAAAACCCATGTGGAAATGACCCAGGTGCAGTCTCACAGCTAAGATCTTAGCCTTTAAATGACCCTCCAATCAAGAAAGAACTATTTAGCACAACAGGTTTCCAATTTGTATAGAACACTGACAGGTAAGTACAAGGAGCCAGAACGTCTACGCAGCACATTCCATGAAAAATATTCCACAAGTGACATTCATTTTTAAGACCGTCAAACTGTTAATTTAAACCAAATTAGGAGGACAAAAAATAGTCCAGGCTGGATTTTTCAGACTAGGAGAGGAAACCCTTTGAATTATATCAGGTTACACTATAGCTGTGGCTTGTTCCTCTTCTCTCACTTTATCCCGTTATAATCTACAGCAGGAGGAGCGATTTCCAATACATGAGTGAGACATACCAATGGGCAAGGTGCATCTAATCCAGGGGCACCCTGTTCTCCTTTCTCCCCTTTAGGCCCCTTTTTGCCTTTCTTTCCCTTTTCCCCCTGTGGACACAATGGTTTGGATAAAACAAATGTTTCATTCTTTTGGGTAAAAAAATATAAATGAAAGAGATTGGTTTAAAAGATTTTTTTTTGCCAGTGGAGGGCTGAAAGGACACTTACCACTGTGTTCTGGTTTGGATGGTGCATTATGTGGAAAAATAAATGATATGATCATAAGCAAGACCTGCATCAGTTGGTATTATTGAGCTTTTGTATGAATGTTTGTATTATGAATTATTTGAATCCTAAAGTAGGGTTTGAAATTATAGGCTGACTTCCTGATTCAAACTGTGGATAAGGACAGAAATGGCAAGCGGATTGTGGCCCTTTCTTTGGGAGCTACAGAGGAAGAGGAATTTCTAGTCAGAGGTGCCTTTGGAACAACTAAACAGATCAATCTCATTTCTACCATTAGGGGGCGGGAGGGGAAAATAGTGGGAACAACTGATTCCCGGTGTGATTCAGTGGAGTCACAGCAGGGATGACTATGTCCCAACATGTCCTTTACTGAATGGACCTTGCATGCATCAGTCCCAGTAGCGTATGGGCCAAAATCTGCCCTCAGTTACCCCCATGCAAACCCACTGAAGTCAATGGGATGGCATGGATACCACTCAGAACAGAATTTGGCCCTTCATTTCAAACCCTGCTAAAGGACTCAGAAGATCCAAACTGCTTGATGTTGAGGTGCTATACAGTTTTCCAGTGATCCCTATCTTTCTGTAATTAGAAAAAAAATTAGAAATGCTAATGAATATTTTCATTTAAATTTCATGTTCAAAACATGATTTCCAAACATCTCTCCACTGCAGGTAAAATTTCATTGGTTTATTATTATTCACTCTTTTAAGCAGGTGACTGAGTTTGCACTGAGTTGCTTTTTAAAAAAGCAAACGATTAAGACTTCTGAAAGAGAGGTTTACAGCAAATTTCACAGCTTTTGATAATCCATTGAAATGAGACACGGAAAAAGAATCTTCTTTTTCCTAACAGGCCTACCGTGAAAGGATGACTCCCCTCCAGCAGTATGTGATATTTGGAGAGTCAATTTTATAATTGATTTCACACCATTTGATCACAATGGTAAATGAGTTTCAGGCTCACTTGCAGTTTAATAAAACCAAAACTGCTTCTATTAAAAAACAAAAAAATGGAGTTGGACAATAAAAAAAGAGGTGGGTGCACCATGTATATTACAAAGAAATAGAAAAACAGTGAAAGGAAAATTAGTATGACACTGGAGAACAACCAAGGGAGGGCTTTCAAGGGTTGTGGCTGTGGAAAGGATTCAGTTTGTAAGGAAAAGGGTAAAAAGGACAAAGGAAATTGTAAGGAAGGAAGGTAAAAGGAGAAGGAAAGAATGCACCTCTGAAAAGGCAGACATGTTTAGGATGAAGTACAGTAAATGGACTTTCAACCAGTTTCACAACAACACAAAGATTAAATCCATTTAGAAAATGATTTTGTTTTTACAAAAACTTGATAAATTTAAGAAGCAAACTGTCTTACTGTAATGCATTTACAAAAGCGAAAACACATAATATACATGAAATACTACAGAATACAGTACCATTCAAATGTAAACAAGAGTTTTCCACAGACAGATATACTGTATTTATGGCACCATGAGAACAGAATTTCCTCATTTATCTTTCCTGTGTGCCAAAAAGCATTCTTCCATCAACCTAGCTGTGTCTACAAAGGGTTAGATCAGCATCCTTGGTGCTTAAGGGGTGTGGATTTTTCACACACCTGAGCACCGTAGCTATGTCGACCTACATTTTAAATGTAAACCAGGCCTCTGTCGGTTTTAACTCGCTGATCCTCCTATTAATTCTTCAATGAACTGGGGGAGGGTGGGAAAAATGGGGGGGATTGTTGCTGTTCCCTTAACTTGCCACTCCCCACTTCCCTGAGTTTCAGGCAGATTTCAAAGGATCCCCAGAAGTCCAGGAGCATCTGTGTGAATGTCCCATTTGTCACTACTGCTGTCCAGCACTGATGGATGCTGGGGAGCACAGCTCCTGCAGCAACCATGCTTCAAGGGATCAGTCTATATGTCCTGACTCTGGGCTCTTTCCCCAGTGAGAGGATCAGCATCTGGGGGAGGGAGAAGCAGCACAAAGGACAACAGATTAAGAGCTGTTATAACTTGTGCTGTGTGTTCCCCATGTGATTAAAGATGGAGAATCAACAGAATTCTACCTGGCTTCCCTACCCCACTCTCCCTCCTGTTCTCTCCAGAACTGTGCAGCCCAAAACCTGTGGAGGGACTGCTATGTGATTAGGGGAAGGACACAGGCTCCTCCCTCCCCTGGAGACAGACTCCCCTCAGCACACAGAAGAGAGCATGAGGCCCTTAGAGTGCAGTCCAGTGAGGTTCTGGACTTCCCCCCACTCCCTTAACATCAATGGGAGTGGAGGGTGCTGAGCACTTTGTGAGATTGAATTTTAACCTGGGTTGAGAAAAATCAATCTTTGTCCTTTTTTAAACTGTTAATGTAATATCTTTTAAAAAGGTGGGTTTTAAAAAACAAAAGGTAAAACTACTGGCCTCTTATTTAGTAAGGTTTTTAAAACCCATTTTAATGACCCAAAATACCACATTATTTAAGTGCAGACTTTTGAGGATTCATTTTTTTGATTAATACAATTTAAACAAACAAAAAAAAAAAAAACCCCAAAACCCACTCAAACTAACAACAAACCAATCAAACCATTTTAAAAAACCTATTTCTCAAAAAGTGCTCCTGGAATATAACCTTGTATGTCAATTTGCAGCTTTGAAAAATTATATTTTTACAGCCAAGTTATGAAGAAATTATGACGCAAACACTGACTCACTTTCACTGTAGCAGAGCTAGTGAGCACCTGTAGGAGAAATTACCAGTCTATGACTTAATCCAGAACCAAGGGGCTGCAGATTTATGCGCTGCCCAACATTATTCGGAGCACACGTGAAAGAAGAGATGTCACTGGTTGCTAAAAAACGTCATGTTGTTTATGCGAGAAATTTCTGCAGTGTAAATGAACCTCAGGTTTTCGGTGTAGTAATTTAATAATCTGAATCTCTGTGACACCAGCCTAGCAGTCAATATCATTCAGCAATATTTAAAGTGACGCTATCCAGAAAAAAAATCATGGTAAATTGGCACATAGCTGAATTGAAATCTGCGCAGCTATGCTAATTTACACTAGCTAAGGACCTGGCCTCAGCTCTCTTGACTTTTTTTTCTTACCCTAACCATTACAGCTGAGAAAATAAGTTACAATGAATGATTTATCAGTTTAATTTAGCCCTTACTGAAAAATGTATTGGATAAAATTAGCCTCTTTGTTCTGATCTTGGAACAATGACAAGCAGATTGTGATTTCCTCATATCCATTTTCCAAAAACATATTGTTTTTGGGGAGAGGGGTTAAATTTCTTTAATTCTATGAATCGATTATGCATGAACATTTCTCTCCAAGTTTTGGCTGTTTGCTCTGAAAGTTGTGCTAATCAAGGGTGGTTGGGCAGATAAGTCACACGGTATTGTTTCCCCTTGCCAAGCAATAGCAGATCTTGAGACCTGGTGGGTCTGTTTCCCACTAGGAGCAGAAATCAGTGTTGCAGAGTAAAGATGTTTTCTAGTATAATTTATTTCCAAGAAGTATACACCTCCTATTTCCCTGAACACAAGTAGTCAAAAACTGCAAAAAACCTCAGCTTAGACACCACTGCCTTTTTACCAAGAAGCACCTGTCTTGGACCACTCTTTCTCTTGGAATGTCAGTGCTTAATATATTGTTCCCCTTCCTACCTCAGCCCCTTGGCTTTCTGGGAAATCCCTTGCCTAGGATTACATGGTTTCCAAAGGTGGCATGGCTATCCCTTCTGCTACTCTACAAAACAAAAGAACTCTAAAACAAATTTAATCAGAAAGAAGAGCGCTTTAACCCACACAATCCTCTTAAGAAATGTCTGGGTGCAGTACTGTACAGATCCCTTTCTATGGAGGGTTTAATCCTCCTGAATGCTTATACCTCAGTGACTCACAACAGACATCATATTAGCACTTGTTGCCATAACAGTATTGTTTCTGTGCCCTGACTCGTAAGATACGCAGGCACTTCTGGAGCAAATACTCATCATGCGTGTAATATTTATAGTTCTGTGTCTGCCAATACTTGCTCATGTGACTCTAAGGTTCACTTTCTGTGAACATTCATGCCAATGAAACTTGATCACATGAATGTCCATGGAACAGGAACACAAAAGTGGTACGGGTATAGTTAAAGTGAAGCCATTTAAAAACTCAAGCTAATATTCTTTGACACCATTTGCAGTGTCTTCCTTTAGGATGATGTAGTCTGCTCCCCAGCACAAGTGGCTTGCTCTGTAGGCTGGTACAAGGCCAAGGTCATACCTTCTTGTAGGCCCCCTTTGAAGGAGCAGCCCTCTCCTCCTGTGGGCATAGAGAGACTACACTTGTTGTAAGCCCCTGTGTGGGCAGCATGAAAGGAGTCTCTTTGCAAACTCTCCCTGTGGCCCCAGGGAGAATCACAATCTGGCCCTAGAATATTAATTGCTTTTCACTGTGTTTATTATTTGCATATCACTCAGCTTGGGTTGTGAAATGAGGCTAATTATTTCACCTTATGGTTCTCATGCATTAGATAAATATTGCATTGTTTGGTTTACAAAAACTATAGGGAAGAGCTTTAATCCATAAAAGCAACTGAATGCAAATAATTAAGGTAATTATCTTAATTGTAAAGTTTGTAATTTTTTTAAAATAATCCCTAGAATACTTTCTAAGGAACCAGATCCTCAGCTGGTACCAATCTGTCTTGACCCACTGGAGTTACATTGATTTATACCAGCTGAGGATCTGAGTCAGCATCCCCCTCACAAAAAATTACTACCCCAATGACACGTGCATTGAGAATCACAGACTGAGAAGGACTTTCATCAGGCATGGCATGGGTTACAGAAAAGGAGCCTGATCCTAGGGTGAGAGTGGACAAACTCTTCCCTTCCTGTCTTGGCAAGTGTTGTATTACTGGTTCTGCATGGAGGTTTTGGTTCTCCTTCTGACTGATGACTTTGTCTAACAAATACACGTGACCTGCCTTTTGGCACACAGTAGGAAGAAAGATCAGGTTTAATGGACAAACAATAGGGTTGGGACAGCAAAATGGACTGGGCTGAGGAATCAAACAACAGATAACAGCACTGAGGTCACCTTTTCTCCCTTTTCGCCTAGGTCACCCTTTTCTCCTCGAGGACCAGGGAAACCCTATAAAAAAAAAACGAACAAAGATATCTATTGGCTTCTCTATCAATGTTGGTTACGTTTTAAAATAGTGCTGGAAAAAATGTATAAAGAAAAAGAATACTGCACTCCATGCTATTTGTCAGAAACTTGGCTCATATTCAGCAAGGACATTTTCTAGCAATGGAAGTAAAATGTGATTCAAAGTGACTCCTACTGTTGTACATACTAAATGACATTACTGGGCTCCGAAGGGGGTTGCTGCAATTTGGGGCCTTTGACAGTAGGGAAGGTGGGAATGGGATGAGAGTGGGAAAGGTGGGAATGGGATCACAACAGGCTCTCACCTGCATGCCGTAAGAAATCCTAAATTGTGAAAAACGTGTCATTTGTAGAGCGCAGGATTTTTTTTTTTAAGAGGGTTGAAGTTACTTAACGAAATGTCGGTGGCTTCTTGTTCTGCTCCTAGTGAGGGGCACTAGTTAGAGTCTGACCCTGCAAACTCTTCTTACCAGGTGTAGTAGTTACTACTGTGATTAGTCCCACGCAGGTCAATGGGACTCCTCTGGGTAGTAAGCACTGTGCCTTGTGGGCTTTGCAGGCTTGGGCTGTACTTTCTCAAAATACCATTGTTCAGTCTGTCCCTCTCACGTCTCTTTATCATATGCAAACATCAGCAATGCAATGTTTGGTATGTTCTCTGCATGTTCAGCATGCACAGAAAATGGGAAATAAATGTGCTGCACCCAGTGAAGGAATCATTTACCTACCATTATGAGTAAATTGGTCATAAATATTACTTACATCAAGGCCAGGCTCGCCATCTTTGCCCTGCCAAAGAACCATATAAACTATGTTAGCATCCCTAAGCCTCATGACTAGCTGATGTCTTACCTGCTAATCACACCTATGAAGGCTGTCTAGATATGCAAGCCCCTGCCTTCTCCCTACAGGAGAGCAATAGCATTCTTTTTGTACAGCAGCAACACACATTTCTAGGGTTACACAAATAGCATTGCCATTAGTGAAGGGTCTTTCTGTCAGTGTTTAACATTTCCCCTGTTTCCAGGAACTGATAACTTGACTGTAAAATTTTGCTACAGATTGAAGCTTATTGTTCCAGGAGCAAGTTAAAATAACGCAATCACTAGGCTTTCACCAGTTTCAATTCACAAAAAGAGCAGGAAAAGGTGAAGATTTTTATTTATGAAAGTGGCCAGCAAATAAGCATACACCGCAAACCAATACTCATCCAGTATTTCACAGAGATGTTTAGTACACAGATAGAGCTGAAAGCCCTCACTACCCATTGGCCTTCTCCTGTTCCAGGGGAAGTCTATGGAACTTTTGCCATGGACTTGTCAGAGCAGGATTAGGTGCATTGACTTCAATGGGAGTTGAGGGCGCTCAGCTCCTCAGAGGATAAGACCCACAGCATGCACAGATTCAGAGATAAGCCTCATTCTGACACAATGTCTGCTAGTGATCTGTTCCACTTTCAGTAGGACAGCCATGCTGGTTGCACGGAAGACATGCCAGGTCACTGATCCCAAAGGCATTGTTTTATACGCTTCCTTTCAATGTAAATTATTTAATTTCTCCAAGGCTCAGACAAAACAGCTCTGGGAAATCTGGCTCAGGCAACAAGGCCTCAGAGCTGTAGGGCGTGCATGCAAAATAAAGCTGCTGTGTCATCTTCCCTCTAGTGGGGACAGCTGTGCTAGCTGATACCGGGGTAAGAGTAACTTATCGGTACACAGTGCCAGGTTCCTGAGCTGGGGGGGCAGAAGGGGTGGGGCTTTTAAATCCCCGGGCCCTTTAAATCACCACTGCTACCCCGGGGCTCTGGTGGCAATTTAAAGGGCCAGGGGCTCCGGCTGTGGTAGCGGCAGCTGGGAACCCTGGGCCCTTTAAATCACTACTGGAGCCCCATGGTAGCAATAGCTGAGGGCAGCCCTGGGCCCTTTAAATTGTCACCGGAGCCCTGGGGCTCCCGGCCGCTGCCACTACCCCAGGACTCCAGCAGCGGGGCTCTGGTGGCGATTTAAAGGGCCCAGGGCTCTGGCTGTGGTAGTGGTGGCCGGGAACCCCAGGACCTTTAAATCACCGCTGGAGCCCCATGGTAGCAATGGCTGCGGCGGTGGACGGGAACCCTGGGGCTCTGGGGGTGATTTAAAGGGCCAGGGGCTCTGGCCACTGCTGGGAGCCCAGGGCCCTTTTAAACTGCCCACCTGGGGAAGCTGCCCCCTGCTGGTACAGTTGGCTGTCTACCGGCTCTTGCTGGTATGCCGTACCATACTGGCTTACTTTCACCTCTGGCTGATACACAGAGAAAATGTGGTTAGGTTCTGTCACAGAGTGGCTGGCTCTTTAAGGGGAATTGGGCCCAGCCTCACCTGTGATGGACCAGCTATCTTCCAGCTGAGTCTGATCAGCTAGGGATCAGGTAATTATAAAAGCCAGCAAGTGGCTCAGTTAGGGGTAGAGAGCTCCCAGGAATAGGGAGACTCTAGCAGGTAGCCCCTGGGTCACGGTGGGAGAACTACAGGAAGTAGGTTGATTCTTGTGGGAGGCCCTAGAATGACAGTATGACTGTCAGGCAAGTGATTTATAGAGCAGAAATAGATAGGCTCCTGCAGAAGATCCTGGGTTAGGGGGAAGGGATAATTGATGTATGTGCTATACTAGTTTAATGTGGAAGAAATAAACCTAAAAATCGAAGAAAAGGGTCTGGACCAGACTTCCTGGGCTGAGAAGACAGACCCACAGCCCCTCACTCTCTTTTCAGGAAAGATAATGCTGCTGTGAGTGCTAGCTTTGCAGACTCCGTGTGATCTCTGTGCTCAAGAAATCGGATCATGTCTGGGCACTGCACAAGGCCTGGTGATCAGGAGTGTTCCACTGAGGGCTGGAGGCAGTTGTGCTTTGAGTAAAGAGTAGCCCTGTGATTACAACAACCAGAAAAAGAATACATAATAGGTCTAACTTTCAGATCAGCCCCATCCTGGCATCCCTTTTTGTGCCTGCAGTTTTGAGGGAGCACATAACTGTGTGTGAGATGTCACTTTGATGTCTAATACTCGATGTGCAGGTGCTATTAGATATCCAAGTGACATTAACTGTATCTGCAAACTGTGGACAGAAAGAAAAAGGGAGGGCAGAATTTTTAAAATGATCTAGTTCAGTGGCCCAGTTCTGCAACACTTACACTTTTGGGGCCTTATTCTCCACTATCTTGCACTTTACTTATCTTTTACGCTTGGAAAAAGTGAGTGTTATATGCTAGCACTGGTACAAATGAGTAGAGAATCCTGGTTTGTTCTCACTTTGCACAGGTGTGAATCACTACACAATGGGCAAGTCAGTGGAAAATCTGGTCCTGTGTCTTGGGAGTTTTGCTGGACTAAGAACTGTGGGCCTGGGCCTGTCATGCACTTGATTGCTGGTTTTGTACTCTGTGTTCCTTCATCTTTTGGAAACATAAATATGGGTCAGATTTGGCCCAGGTTTACCTGACCTGCTCACAGCCCCAGAGGGAGAAAGTCCACTACCAGTGGAGAGATTGTGGTGGTAAAAGGTATTAACACTCGCTGGTGTTGAGGAAACTATCAGAATCCAACTCACCTCTCAAAGGGGCAGCGGTAGCTAGGAAAGGGGCATGGCCAGGGGGTGCACTGTCTTAGCACATTCCCTCAGCAACCTCTCACAAGGGCTCCTATGGAACTTCCAGATGAAAATAAAACTGCCCTACTGTGGCAAACTGTCAAAGGAATATGGTGGCAACACCACCACCTGCTCTCATACTGAGAGACTCTCTAGTGCAGGGTGATGTAAATTACAACTCCCTGTTCAGTCTTGAGAGAATCCAGTTCAAACAAATGAAACTGGAGAGGAGATGTATAAAACTCTGCCTTTGTAAATAATGACCCAATATAATTGCAGTGGAACCACTGTGATCTTACCAAAGCTGGAACAGATCTGTGTTTGTAACACACCACAGCCTTTGTGTCAATGCACACAGTAGATATACATGTGCACACACACTGAGCTAGATCCTCAGCCGGGCTAAACCAGGGTAGTTCAATTGACTTCAGTGGAGCTATGCTGATTTACATCAACTGAAGCCCTGGTCTACATATGTTAGGGATGGGTAAACTAGTTAACTAACTTATAGAAAAAAGGATCCCCCCTCCAGCCCAACCCTGCCTTGAAGTTGCTTGCTCTGGTATAGTCAGATAAAACTTTTATCACTTCTGGTTTCTGATCAGGAAACAAGTACCAAAATACTGTAAGAAAATCAGTGAGACTTCTAAGCCAAATGTGCAAACTTGAGAGGTTTGGATAAGCTTTAGGTAATCATCTGAACTTCTAAATATTTATCCAAACCAAACCCAAACTATGAACCTTTTAAAGTTCTCCCATCCCAAGTACACAGAAATGCAAAAAATCAAAGCAAACCAAAATCTTCCACACACAAACAACACAAAAAATAGTAACAGCAAAATATTGTTGCATCAAAGAAATCTGAATAAGACATTAAGAAAATCACAAAAACTTCCATGGCTACACTCTGTCCTGAGCTCTTTGCCAGTCTATTTTGGTGGTCTCAGGGCATCTAACAACATGTGTCGACCATACATAATCAAAATGGCATAAATTGCAGAATAAGGGGCACTTAACTCTAGATTTCCTCTTTCTTTTTGGTTTGTTAGCCCCATTCCATTACTTTTGCACAGATGTATGTATGTTTAGGAATCTGCATAAGTTTGTGATATGGGCCTGCTTCAAGCTCAGGACTTTGCATTGTCACGGATTATCATCTGCTCTCACCACTCTCAACTAATTACACTGCTGGATGGAAAATGGTCATAAAATACAGCAAAGTTTAATCAAGGAGTGGTGAAAGTTGCAATGTGTACAAGTTCCATGCAACTTACAGGCAAACCATATGGTCCTCTGGGTCCAGGGTCACCAACAGCTCCCTTTTCACCCTAGGAAAAAGGTTAAAAACACACATCTGATTCAATCACAAACAGTCTCTTCGTGTTAAAATAATCCCTCTTGCTCAAAAGTGGAAGCCTATTTATCTCTAATCCTTTGTCTGGATAATATCTGCAAATCTGATTTTCAGTAAATAGTTAAATGAAAATGACAGGGCTGTATATTCCTATGTTCAGACACACTGATTGTATCTCTTTCTGGGCAACTAAAGATAAGCCAGTACAGTATGATAAATGGCAACTGTGATAAAGGTAAACATTATCATGTATTAATACTATTTTGTGTAGTTTGTTTAGTTCCAAAAATGTATGTAGTCGCTAAACATCCAGTTTCAGAGTAGCAGCCGTGTTAGTTTGTATCTGCAAAAAGAAAAGGAGGACTTGTGGCACCTCAGAGACTAACAAATTTATTTGAGCATAAGCTTTTGTTAGCTACAGCTCACTTCATTGGATGCATTCAGTGTTATTAACTTATTCAGTGTTATTAACTTCCAGCCAGCGCTGTGAGCTCATAGCAGCTGGAGTACTGGGCCTTCAGGAGGAGCCCAATACTGTAATGAAAGCTGTGGGTGCTCAATACCTTGCATCCCACTCTGGCTAAACAGCTGAGATTTGCTATGATGAACCACAAAATTACTGTCAACCAAGGCTTGTGTGTAACAGGCAATATTATTAACAGTAATATCGTGAAGACCATACCATATGTAGAACCATACATTTAGCTGCTCAGATACATTAAATAAAAATTCTAACCCGTGGTGAGACAAACGGAAGTGATTCTCACCGAGAGTCCGATCCCACTCCCCACTGAAGTCAATGGAAGAAGAGAGAGTTTCCAAAGAGGGATGCTGTTAAAGCAACTATGCACATCACTTTTTACAAGCCAGTCCAGAGGAAGCATTTCCAGAATGAAACGAAATCTCTAGAAAACAAATGTAAGGTTGGAATCCATACTGGGCTTAGTGTTTTTCAAGGTGACTGACAGAAAAAAAACACCTTTCAAATTAGCTGACACATGGCTCTGCATCAGTGCTGCTGCAGGACCTCTGGTGGTGATCATGTTAAATCGTGTACGCTAAACATAGATATGCCTGGGGAGCAACGAGATGGGAGACTCCAAGAAACATCAAGCCTGCTGCAGTAAATAATGAAAGGTTTGCTTTCCATGGTATTCTTCCCTCTCACTAAGTACTGAACCAACACTCCAGCATAGCCTTTTGGTGGGACTGTGCTGCTGGAGGTGTTGTGTTTTACATGAGACAGAAAAGAGAGGTCCTGGTCACGTACGGTTTTCAAGGCTTCTTGTTTGACTAGGTTCCCCCTGGAGTGTCGCTTGAGTATCTTTTTCACTTCTTTTCCTTAATACAAACAAAGCTTTCGTGTAATGTTCCCGGCATGGAAAGACACCATGTTCCATCCCAGACATTACTACAGTTCAGTGGTAGATGAACTGTCTGCCTCTTGGTGAAATGTACTCTAAAAATCTAGATTATTTATTATCCATTATTAATAGAAAGGGTACGTTTTAAAAGCACAGACTTAGATGTGTGTGTTATCTTTGGGAGTCATGGATGAATCCCTGTGCACTGCTCTGAGAATGTACCACTGAAGTGTAAATTATATTGCTTGGGTAGTAACAGCAAGGAGGCTTCAGAAAAAAAAAATAGCTGAAAGAATCTCTTGTTTAATAATCACAGCAACAAAGGATGCATTGGGGGACTGACATTTGATCAAGTTTAGATACTTTACTTTTTGATGAAGATTATAGCTCCTTATATGTGCCGCAGTTTGGATGAGACTAAGTGTCCGATTAAGGTCTTTCTTGATTCCGTTGATCTCCCAACTGTTTCTGACTAGGCAGCGAGACTAGATACCCTTGTAAAACAACAGGAGGTACTAGAAGTAACAGCTGATTTACAAAATTAATCCCCTGGGGCCTCAGCACTTTCTGCCAGAAGAAGCTAAGAGATTTGCTAACCTACTTAATATAACAGCTACAAAGTTCTCTGATCCATATTTGAGATTCATCAAGACTAGTTAATGTCCTTTTGATCTAGACCATATGGAGTCCTCTCAAAATAGGCCCGTATCTTGCTAAACATATGGTAGACATAAAAATACTGGCAAAGGGTTTGGCAAATCAGTTCAGGGAAGTCATCCCATCTATTATACACAAGGATCGAACTGGATATGTACCCTATAGATTTTCTACCTCCAATGTGAAGCACCTGCAGAAAGGTGTTTGGAACATGGGCTCATGCTATCAGTGGCTATGGATTAGGATGGATTAAGGATGGGGGGGGAAGACTTTGGGATTGCTGCCCCGAACAGTGAAATAAACTACTTGCTTCACGGAAACAGACTTTCACAGTCTAGTTTTAAGAAACTCTTAATCTTTTATTTTCAGAATCTTGCCAGTGCAAAAGTAACAATTTGTCGCTCGTCAGTGTTGTTTCCTGCCATTTTAGATCCAGTGTCCTGAATTATGTTGTTCTGTGTTGTGCTGAAGTACTGTATTTGCAGGAACAACACTATATTTGGTGTCTCCCTAGAACCTGCACACAAACTAGATGGAGATCTCATGAGACCACCCCACTGAGAAGATTTTTAAATAAATAAATGTGTTGTCAGAAACACTAACATATTCTGAATGTCTTTAGTGACAGAAGTTTTAGGCAAGCCACATGTTTGAGGTCCTGAAAAGAGCTAAGTTCAGAGACAAAACTTTGCCACACAGATGAGAATCCCTTGCAATTCCTATTTCATTAAGTGTGAATCTTTCAAGACCTTTTGAACTAATAAGAGACTGGAGAAGCCGTTTTGTCTGACAACATTATCGCTGAAATTTACATTAGTTATTGGATGATTAGCCATAGGGAATATATAAAATACAAATACTCCAAAATGTTTGATTGTCCAGAGGGAAAATAGAGTTTACTGGCAAACAGACAATGTAAATTAGCAAAAAGAAAAGGAGTACTTGTGGCACCTTAGAGACTAACCAATTTATTTGAGCATGAGCTTTCGTGAGCTACAGCTCACTTCATCGGATGCATACCGTGCATGCTGCAGTTTCCACGGTATGCATCCGATGAAGTGAGCTGTAGCTCACGAAAGCTCATGCTCAAATAAATTGGTTAGTCTCTAAGGTGCCACAAGTACTCCTTTTCTTTTTGCGAATACAGACTAACACGGCTGTTACTCTGAAAAATGTAAATTAGATGTTGTTAGGGCTTCCAGCCAGCCTTTATATCTATTATTAAACAATCAATTCCATTTTTGGTTAGAAAAATCATTAAAATATAAGCAGAGATGGCTGTAGTAAAAACTCCTGCAGTTCCTGGTGAAATGGCAATGCTGATATTTTCAGTGTACTAATAAAAATGTGAATGTATGTAGCACCTTTCATACCAGAATATCAAAGTGTTTTACAAATTTTAATTCATTGTCATATCTCTTTTACAACAAGAAGCATCACATACAAATATATCATTGTGCACAAAGTGTCATCCTGAAATGCTGCCCATGGTCATCTGAGAGTATTATATTCCCATAAAACAGATGATAATAATTTGCAAAGCTTATACAACATCTTACATTTTTAAAGCACTATTCTCACAATAACCATATAGGGTGGTTAGGCAATTATCACCATCCCAGTTTTACAGAGGGAGAAACTTAGACAAAGAGCATCAAATTCAGCTCTGGATTAAATAGGTGCAACTCTGACTGGAGTCAATGGGAGTTGTATTCCCTTATGCCAGAATTGAATTGGGCCAAGAGAAATTAAATGACTTTACCAAGACTATGCAGTGAATTATTGCCAGATCCAGCATTAGATAATTTCCTGTCTTGGAGTCCCCTGAACCAGTTCTTTAGATCACACTGCCTCCATCTAAATAGGAGTAGTCAGTGTTTGATATTCTAGTGAAATAGCTAAACTCGAAAAAATTCAGATCTGGACAATGTTCCTTCTGCCACATGCCACAGAATGGTAAATGTTATTAGATCAAGTGACTCCATCACTGCCCAAAATCTGTATATACAAAAATGAATCCATATAGTTAAGGGAATTTTATTTTAATTTGGAATTATATTTTAATTTGATTTTCCTTGCTCCTGAAACATTTAAGGAGTCCTAAATCTGCACTCAACTACAGTGTCTTTTAAAAAGCGAGATTAGCTTTCCAAATTATAAGTATAATATGTGGATTTACAATTTACTTTGTATTTGCAACTGACCCTTCCTCAACATTTCACCTTGAAACATCTGTATAGCCTTCCAACTTAACACTAGCTTCTGTTCCTGAACCAAAGATTTAGTTGTCATCATGGACAAAATTTGATCCTGTACCATGATATCCAGCAGCCATACTATGGCCCATTATTTTGAAATGTAGAAGTTGAGGTCCAAGGACAAAATGATTGTGCTCCTGTTTTTGCATACAGAAGCTCAATAAGTGCATGTGCAAATTGTAACGATGCATTAAAATAGCTGATAGTGCATTTATTATTTATTTCAATTTAAATAGTTTAAAAAGACATTTTTACAAAAGTCTAGGCACTCCGACTCATAACAAATGCCACAGCAAAACCCCAACAGCATTAAATAATTATTCAGGCAGGAGCTCTGCAAGCCTGTCACCTACAAAAAAACTTCTTTCCACCCCCCATCATTTAATTGATTTATTATTAGTTTTATTTGTTATTTATATTACTGTAGTGCATAGGAGCCCTAATCATGGACCAGGACCCCATTGTGTTGGGAACTTCACAAACAGAGAACAAAAAAAATGGTTTATAATTTAAGTTTTAATCTTTTCACTCTTTTTTTTTTCTCTTTTTTAAAAAAGGTTTAGAGTGGTTACAGAATTCTTGGTCCTCCACAGTTTACCAGAGAAGACCGGGATGTGTCACAGCAAGGAGCTTAATAAACATAGGAACTTCTTGATTAGGGAGTTCTCTAGTTGCTGCTTAACACGTGGCTCTTCATGTTTATGTTCTTACACTACACAGAGATGTCTCTCTTTCAAAGAAGACTTGAGTAATGTAATCCCCTACAAAAAATAAGCTAGGGCCCTCAAGACCATTAAACTAAACTGAGTGGCAACATTAGCTACTGTACCTGCTTTGGACTACAGGACATGTCTACATCTTATATCTCACCACATATTTTTGCAAAAATGAATCCTCAAGTCATGCAGATCTGTCTCGGATGAGCTGCTGTTAAAGCAAATTGGATCCAGGCCATATAGCAATGACTTCAGTATGGCAGGTCTGAAATAGTGTTACCACAGCTGTTTGTTAGAAATCCAAACAGACGTAATTCTGGGTTTGCGACTCCTAGGAGATTTTAGTCAGTATCAAGTATCATCTTTTGTTTTTTTCTGCAAATTTAAAGTGGCGTTAAGGTTGACAGGCTCATAGTTAAAATCCCTGGCCCCCATCTTATTTAGACTGAAATCGATAGGAAATTTCCTACGGATTTTCAATGGGAACAGGCTCAGTTTCTAGCTTCTACCTTAAAAAACAGTGATAATTAAATGATGCTTTCCAGATTTTGAGGACACCCCTCAGATCCTCTAAGAACAAGAACTGTAAAAATCCCTGTTCCTCACTGGATGACTCAGCAGTCATAAATATGGAGCACTGAGCTTTTTGATATTGTGCATGTACACAATCAAATCACACTGTCTTCTGCTTTCTCCATTTTCTCCATCATTCTAGGCACACAAGACAATGAAACTGACCAAAAACCTGTTCTGTGCAACATTCAGAATGCAGGAGTCTTACTAGTTTCTTCCTGATCTGTGATTGCAAAATACCCATTACCCTGGATTCCTCTTTGTTAGTGAACAACAGAAGCATCTCCTACAACCTAAGTAGATGAATGTGTGGTCAGCAAGAATACTGTGGGAGACCGTGTCAAAAGCTTTGCTAAGGTCAAGGAACAACACATCCATTGCTTTCCCCTCATCCACAGAGCCAGTTATCTCGTCATAGAAGGCAATTAGATTAGTGAGGCATGACTTGCCCTTGGTGAATCCATGCTGACTGTTCCTGATCACTTTCCTCTCCTCCAAGTGCTTCAGAATTGATTCCTTGAGGACCTGCTCCATGATTTTTCCAGGCTGACTGGCCTATAGTTCCCAGGATGCTCCTCCTTCCCTTTTTTAAAGGTGGGTGCTACATTAGTCTTTTTCCAGTCATCCGGGACCTCCCCCGATTGCCATGAGTTTTCAAAGATAATGGCCAATGGCTCTGCAATCACATCCGCCAACGCCTTTAGCACTCTCAGATGCAGTGCATCCGGCCCCATGGACTTGTGCTCCTCCAGCTTTTCACTTCTTTCTCCACAGAGGGCTGGTCACCTCCTCCCCATGCTGTGCTGCCCAGTGCAGTAGTCTGGGAGCTGACCTTGTTCGTGAAGACAGAGGCAAAAAAAGCATTGAGTACATTAGCTTTTTCCACATCCTCTGTCACTAGGTTGCCTCCCTCATTCAGTAAGGGGCCCACACTTTCCTTGACTTTCTTCTTGTTGCTAACAAGAAACCGTTCTTGTTACTCTTAACATCTCTTGCTAGTTGCAACTCCAAGTGTGATTTGGCCTTCCTGATTTCACTCCTGCATGCCTGAGCAATATTTTTATCCTCTTCCCTGGTCATTTGTCCAATCTTCCACTTCTTGTAAGCTTCTTTTTTGTGTTTAAGATCAGCAAGGATTTCACGGTTCAGCCAAGCTGGTTGCCTGCCATATTTACTATTCTTTCTACACGTCGGGATGGTTTGTCCCTGTAACCTCAATAAGCATTCTCTAAAATACAGCCAGCTCTCTTGGACTCCTTTCCCCCTCATGTTATTCTCTCAGGGGATCCTGCCCATCAGTTCCCTGAGGTTGTCAAAATCTGTTTTTCTGAAGTCCAGTGTCCGTATTCTGCTGCTCTTCTTTCTTCCCTGTGTCAGGATCCTGAACTCAACCATCTCATGGCCACTGCCTCCCAGGTTCCCATCCACTTTTGCTTCCCCTACTAATTCTTCCCAGTTTGTGAGCAGAAGGTCAAGAAGAGTTCTGCCCCTAGTTGGTTCCTCCAGCACTTGCACCAGGAAATTGTCCCCTACACTTTCCAAAAACTTCCTGGATTGTCTCTGCACCGCTGTATTGCTCCCCCAGCAGAAATCAGGGTGACTGAAGTCTCCCATGAGAACCAGGGAACTTCCGTGAGTTGCCGGAAGAAAGCCTCGTCCACCTCATCCCCCTGGTCCGGTGGTCTATAGCAGACTCCCACCACGACATCACCCTTGTTGTTCACACTTTTAAACTTAATCCAGAGACTCTCCGGTTTTTCCTGCAGTTTCATACTGGAGCTCTGAGCAGTCATACTGCTCTCTTACATACAATGCAACTCCCCCACCTTTTCTGCCCTGCCTGTCCTTCCTGAACTGTTTATATCCAACCATGACAGTACTCCAGTCATGTGAGTTATCCCACCAAGTCTCTGTTATTCCAATCACATCATAATTCCTTGACTGTGCCAGGACTTTCAGTTCTCCCTGCTTGTTTCCCAGGCTTCTTGCATTTGTGTATAGGCACTTGAGATAACTTGCTGTTTGTCCTGCTTTCTTAGGATGAGGCAGGAGCCCACCCCTTTCGCGCTCTCCTGCTCGTGCTTCCTCCCGGTATCCCAGGTCCCCACTTACCTCAGGGTTTTGGTCTCCTTCCCCCGGTGAACCTAGTTTAAAGCCCGCCTCACTGATGTAGTATGGCACTAACAAATGGTCACTCATCCTGAAGTAATTGTAGTTCTTTGAGATGTCTCCCCAAGGGTGCTCCACTTTAGGTGCGCTAGAGATTTCTCATAGCAGTGTCCATCTGGCCTGCACATGTATGCTTGTCAGTCTCCTGCCCTGTGCCATTGCTGTATAGCACTGCGTGGGCAAACCACCCTCAGTTCCTTCTCTACTGTGAAGCCTTATAGCAGAGAACTCCAAAGCAGTGGGGAAGGCAGGCAGGTAGTGGTAGTGGAGCACCCATAGGGACACACATCTTGTAGAACTACAGTTACTGCACAGGGTGAGTAACTATTTCTTCTTCAAGTAGTGTCCCTTCAGGTGCTCCACACTAGGTGACTACCAAGCAATTCTCCTTAAGGCAGAGGGGGCTTCAGTGTTGAGTCCAGTATGGAAGAAAGTACAGCCAAGCCGAACACAGTATCAGAAGCTGAGTCGTGAGCTATTGCGTAGTGTTCAGCGAATGTATGCAGACAAGCCAAGTAGTGGCCTTACATATTCCAATAATGGGTATGTTTTTGAGAAATGCCGTAGAGGTGGAAATGGACCTCGTAGAGTGAGTATGTATGTCCGTAGGTGCTTGAATATTACCAGATTCATAGCAAGAATTAATGCAGTCAGCTATTCACGTAGAAAGTCTTTGATTAGAGACTGCAGGCCCTTTCAATCTACCTGCAAGCAAGACATCAATTTGGAGGTCTTTCTGAAGGGTTTAGTCCTATCCAGACAGAAGGCCCTGGACAGTGATTGGTAAGCAAATGGCAAAGTATATCAGATAAGGAAACCATCTTTGTCTGGGCCAGGTTGCAACTATTAGGATGACTCTAGATTTGTCCTTCTTTATTTTGAGCAGCTACCCCCACACATTTCTCTGTGCCCCCCCAGGGGGGGTGCACCCCACAGATTGGAGACCTCTGTTTTAGATCATACCCTTAGCAATGCATATTGTCAATATCTTTGCCTTGTTGTAACTGACTGAAACACAGGAAACAATTCTCCTGCTGCTGCACAAGAAGGACTAGCATACACCTCCCTTCCTCTCATCTTTGTGACCGCGGCAGGTTTTAACAGGAATAAAAAGCAATAAAAACTTATTTGAGTAACTAAATTAAGCAGATATGACTGAATACACTCAGGGAGTAGATCATATGAGTAAGAAGGTGCTATTTTTACATGTTTCAGATTAAAAATGCACTTTAAACTATTTTAGGAAGTCTGACCCTTAAACACAGGAGGTACTATTCTGCTCACTAACATTTGTGTGTGTCATTAGTTTTAGAACAACATTTTGCCACAATGTTTTCTTCATAAGGAGAAACATCTGAATAATGTGTACTTACTCTATCTCCTTTAGGACCTGCTGGGCCATGTGGACCGACTGGGCCATCCATACCCTAAAAGATTAAACAAACAAGTAGTGAAAAACAAATGCCCTGAAATCTGTTAGCGGTTCTTAATTGCAGATTTATTCTGGTCAGGAACTACCTTAGGATCAGTTCAGCTCCCACTGGCTGAAAATATAGGTTGAGATTGTCAAATCTTAATGATGCTGGGAATTGGGCATCCAAATCCACTAGGGGGTTTGAAAATCCCATCTATAAACTATTAGCTATGATGTATGTAGCTCATCTTTCATCTAATTGGTTTGTACTTTATTGCTTTAAATCAACAGATTAATAAAGGTTTTAAAATGTAGAGTGTATTTCTGCCACTAGGAGTTAAAGGGTTAAACAAGGAAGTTTATACTAAAAATTGTGTAGATTAAATATAAGAGGCCATAATGACGAATGACAGGCTTAACAAGGCCTTTAAATACATAGCTATGTTGTTCCTTCACTTTTCCCCTTCCTTCTTCATCATTATAAATGCCACAGCAGTTAACATTTGTTGTAAATATCAAAAGGCTCAACATCGAGTTGTCGAAGTTTTGCACCACTCTCACAGACTCCGTATTACCTGGTCTTGTGAAGGTAGTACAAAACTCATCAGGGCTTCAGATTATACAGAGAAGCCTAATTTTACCAAGTAGAACAAGCGCTAGTGAAACTATTGCTTTTTACACTTCTTGTTGTTGCTTTCTCAGCTCAGAATTGATGTTCCAAGCATGGCATGGTTTCCACTACTGAAGTCAGACGGAACAGTACAAATAAAAGACAGGAAAAGGAAGATATACAGCATGCTTCATTCAAATGGCAGTTCTCCTTACATGGGATTTGAAAGCTAGTCTCAGGGACAAAGCTACAATTTCCAAGGCCAATGTAAATCCAAGATGAACATAAAGCTCAGAAAGAAGATGAATATACTTAGATATTCTGAGCCATGTCCCCGTTTTAACAGATTTTCCTGTACACCTATATAAACTAGGCCAGCTCCAACCAAAATTTCACCCCATAATACATTAAGATTCAGAGCCCCATCTATAGAGCACGCCACTACCTGTCCCCCACTGCTAACCAGTACCAAGACTTTCTTCAGATTCAGCATCATGTAAGTTGCTTGATAAATTTTGCCTCATTCCATGTAAGTCACATGTATAAACTAGGCAAATAGGACCACTGTGAAACACATAGACTCAGTAGCAAAGCATGACACAGGAATGCAAGGGACTCACCCGGGGTCCTGGCTTTCCGTCTAAGCCAGATGCTCCCTGTATGATTAGGTGGAAGCATGGATGATGGGTATAACATGAATGACAAGAATGTGAGATTAGTAAGTGGTGTTGATGAATAAACATAACTTAAACACAGAATATAAGCTGTTACGGGGTTCTGGAATGAGGATTACATTATTACAATATGTTAGTTAAAAAATTACATACAACATTAAGAGCCGGATTCTGATCTCAGTTACATTGGTTTTACACTGATGTAACATCACAGACCTGATGGAATTACTCCTGATTTACACCAGCGTACCTGAGATCAGAATGAGGCCCTAGATATATTAGTGTTACAAACATCAGACATTATGGTGTTTCTTGTGCTTTAATATGCATATACTTAATTTATAAATTAACTAACAAGTTGTCTAATGTGAATTATAAAATACTGACAATACTGACTACTCTACTTTGCAATGAAATTAAAATATACATTTTAACATCGATAAGAAGAGTTTAAGCTGAAGAAAATTGTGTTACATCACCAACAAAATCTTGGCCCTCATTACAATGGTTTTATTCGTTTTCAAGAGCCCAGGAGACAATGACGTTTCCTATTTTTACCAGCAAATTACAATTGTAGCGCATGTTCATGAACATTGGATCTAATTCCAGGCTGGAAGTGCAGATATGCATTGCACTTTGGGCTATTCAGTTTAACATCCTCAGGGACTGGCTGACCCCTGGTGGATTTTATATGAATAACATAAGACTGGTATACTGGAAACTATTTGCTGGATTATCAAAGGGACTTTTTGTCAACTTGAAAATTGCTAGTTTCACTGAAAGACACTAAAATCTTTCTGGTAAAGGTGACATTCCTCAGAGTCTCTCTGCAAATCTTTAAAAACTTTTGACCAGATTTTTTCTGATCTTTTTTAAAATGCTGCTGCGCACAATATCTACACAACAACAGGGGAAGCAGATTGACTATAAAGTGGAAAACGTTAAATTGACTTTTCACAAACTGCTGTCAAATGCACAAAGGAAACATAAAATATATTGTTTTTCTTCTAATCACTTTCAGCTCTGGTGTCTCTTGGGACAAAATTTTCAAATGGAAATGTGATTTTTAAGTCAATTATGTCCCTTTAAGATCAATTTATGCCAAGTACCTATAATGAAAACTGTTCTGAACAGTACAAGGCAAAAGTACAAACAAACAACCAAACAAAAAATCCAGCATCTCTGGCTGAATGGGGAATGTTTTAAAATTCTAGAAGCCAATTCCCAAGGTCTTTACTCAAATTTTACTCAGTCCTGACTCAGGCAAACCTCCCACTTTAGTGGCAGTTCTTCAATGAAATATCACTGAGGATACATCAAAATTAAAACACAACGTGTTTGATAAAACCACGTTTTTAAAGCAAACACCACACAACATTGAAATCACAACATGATTAATGTAATGGGGCTGACAGCATCCTCGTGAGGCTATTAACACTGTCCACTGACACGTGACAAAAAGAAACTGACAGCACTGTGTGTTACAGGATGTGACTTTGGACAATGGTACAGACTCTAGATACAACAAAACAAGACTGATGTTCTGCTCCAACATGATAGAGGTTTATAAATGCTGTTGAGTAAACCAGATTTGTTGGTTGAAAGTAGAGAGAAAAAGTCTGTGATTTGCACTGAAATTGAATAGTTTTTTTTACTTACTGGAAGACCAAGGGGCCCTCTGTCACCCTTTTGACCTGGTTCACCCTTCAATCCTTTAAGACCATTTAACCCTGGTTCACCCTAAATGTAAAAGTATAAATGCCAATTTTTTGGTGCTATAATGGGTAGTTAAGCTGGGACAGAAGAGAGCCAGTCTTAGATGTAGCTGCAAATTCCAGTTCAAAACAAAAGCAAGTTCTTTTCAGTGTAAGGTACTAATTCAGCATTCACAGATTATTGGCAATTTACATGGAGATATTATACTGACCTGTGCTAAAATATACAATAGACAATGACTGGTCATTTTAAATACAACTGTGTGTTGAAATAATACAAGAAACTGCTGTGTAAAACTTTCCTGACTCACTTCTAAATAATTATTGAAGTATTTGTCTCATGTGGGGTCAATTGTAATTTTCCTGCCTCCTGAGTTTCCTCTATGCCCACACGTTTCTGTCATAGACTGATAATTCAAAAGAAAAGAAAAACCTTAGACAAGAATATTAGAGATTGTATTTTGTTCAGATTAGTAATAATTGATTTCTGCAGTGAGATCTGCAGAAAGGTGCATTTTGTGTGGAAGTACATTCTCTTCCAATGACAAACTGGAATTTGCAACACAGTCTTATGTAAAGATACTTTAAACCTTTAAGCACTCATAGTTAAACAGGAAATTAAGAGGAGCAGTGTGTTGTATGGGGACAATGCATTTTGGGGGTCCATCCTTCACTGATCTCACAAAAAAGCTATTTATAGTAGAACAAAAGATGTTGTGGAAAGATTGAGATTATCTAGTTACTTGGACATCGCTCTATTAAAAATGGTGAAGTGAATAATGGTGAACCTAGGGTATGTGTAAAGGCATCTTCACACTATGTAAAACTACCACAGCATGGTGGCTCTATAGACAACTCAGGGTGCTAACAATACCTGCTTCCAGTGAGAAATGGAAATGCATAGGATTTTCTCTGTGCGAAGGACGGTGCCCTGCTCCCAGGGTTTCTCACAAACAAACAAACAAACAAACCATAAAAGAATTTAATCTATGCTTCTGCTTTCAGTGATGTCTCTTTTGTCCCTGCCTTAAAACAGGAGCCATTTCTCTATTCTTCCTCCATTTGAGTGAATGGATGTCTCTACAATGGAGCTGGAAATTGTAATTTCCAGCTTAAATAGACATATCCATGCTTTGTCCCTTTCCTGACATTTGGAAGCAGAAATCCTACAAAAACTTGACTCTCAGGTCAAAAGTCCAAAGTAAGACAGGTGCTAAGCTGGAATAGAACTAGGGTTGTCAATTAATCACAGTTAAATCACGCGATTAACTCAATAACATTAATTGCGATTAAAAAAATTAATCGTGACTAATCACAGTTTTTAATCGCACTGTTAAACAACAGAATACCAATTAAAATTTACTAAACATTTTGGATGTTTTTCTATATTTTCATATATATATTTTAGCCTGTGTTGTAATTGAAATCAAAGGGTATATTATTTTTCATTACAAATATTTGCACTGTAAAAATTATAAACAAAAGAAACGGTATTTTTCAATTCACCTCATACAAGTACTGTAGTGCAATCTCTTTGTCATGAAAGTGAAACTTACAAATGTAGATTTTTTTTGTTACATAACTGCACTCAAAAACAATGGAAAACTTTAGAGCCTACAAGTCCACTCAGTCCTACTTCTTGTTCAGCCAATCGCGAAGACAAACAAGTTTGTTTACATTTACAGGAGATAATGCTGCCCTCTTCTTATTTACAATGTCACCAGAAAGTGAGAATAGGCATTTGCATGGCACTTTTGTAGCCAGCATTGCAAGTCATTCACATGCCAAATATGCTAAACATTCGGAGGCCCCTTCATACTTCGGCCACCATTCCAGAGGACATGCTTCCATGCTGATGACACTCGTTAATAAAATAATGCATTAATTAAATTTGTGACTGAACTCCTTTGGGGAGAATTGTATGTCCCTTGCTCTGTTTTATCCACATTCTGCCTTATATTTCATGTTATAGCAGTCTCAGATGATGACCCAGCACATGTTGTTCATTTTAAGAACATTTTCACTGCAGATTTCACAAAACGCAAAGAACATACTGATGTGAGATTTCTAAAGATAGCTACAGCACTCAACCCAAGGTTTAAGAATCTGAAGTGCCTTCCAAAATCTGATCAGGACAGGGTGTGGAGCATGCTTTCAGAAATCTTAAAAGAGCAACACTCCAATGCTGAAACTACAGAACCCAAACCACCAAAAAAGAAAATCAACCTTCTGCTGGTGGCATCTGACTCAGATAATGAAAATGAACATGTGTCGGTTCATACTGCTTTGGATTGTTATCGAGCAGAACCCGTCTTCAGCATGGACATATGTCCCTTAGAATGGTGGTTGAAGGATGAAGGGACATATGAATCTTTGGCACATCTGGCACATAAATTACTTGCGACGCCGGTTACAACAGTGCCATGGGAACATCTGTTCTCACTTTCAGGTGACTTTGTAAACAAGAAGCGGGCAGCATTATCTCCTGCAAATGTAAACAAACTTGCTTGTCTTAGCGATTGGCTGAATAAGAAGTAGGACTGAGCAGACTTGCGGGCTCTAAAATTTTATATTGTTTTATTTCTGAATGCAGGGTTTTTTGTACATAATTCTATATCTGTAAGTTCAACTTTCATGATAAGGAGATTGCACTACAGTACTCGTATTAGATGAATTGAAAATACTATTTCTTTTGTTTTTTTACAGTGCAAATACTTGTAATCAAAAATAAATATAAAGTGAGCACTGTACACTTTGTATTCTGTGATGTAATTGAAATCAATATATTTGAAAATGTAGAAAACATCCAAAATATTTAAATAAATGGTATTCTATTCTTGTTTAACAGTGCGATTAATCATGATTAATTTTTTTAATCGCTTGATAGCCCTAAATAGAACTGATTTCAGAAGATCATTACTGAACCAAGCCTCCAATGCCAGGCAAAGTTTGACATAGTCTAACTGTGACTCAAACCTTTAAAAAGGGATATTTCTATCTCATCCCCCGTACCTCAAAAACCAAATAATCCTTTTTTAGAAAGCTGAATATGAAAAGAGAAATGTAATGATTAAAATGGTTGTTACAGGATTCATTATGCTTGAGTGTGATACTAAATTTTTGAACTAATGTGTTAATTTAATTAAAATACAAATTAAACCATGGTTTCTTTTAATCTTTCCAAAATCATCCATGTTTTCAGGAAACTGGCTGTTGTCTAAAACTTTTGCAGGGTTTCTGGGGTATGTGTCATGCGCACATTCTATGCTAGGGATGAGGGAGTGTTTCCAGCAGCACTAAGATATATACTGATGCCTGGTGTGGGACTCCTAGTGGGGACTGTGGGAAGGAAGGTGAACTTGTGTTGGAAGGCCTAGGAGATGGGAGAGAGAGCAGAGGAAGAGGAAAAGAGGCATATCTGGAAACCAGTTTGTTTGATTTCTCCTCCTCCATGTACAACACACTCATCCTCTGTGTTCTAAAGCGTAATTTAAGGCAATTGCAAATCACTAATTAGAATAGCATGAAACTCTCACCAGCAAACAGGAGGCTAGGTAATTTTAATACCAGTTCATAATCATAATTATAAAAATCTAGTCCAATTTATGCTCATGTGTAACACACACAAGCAATCATCATAAATTATTACAATTCAAAAATATCCTTTAACTTTTACTTTAGTATCTGCTTAAAGGCTTAAGAGTATCAGAAATATTTCACAAATAAATGAGACAAAGGACACAACATAGATGCATGCTTCACTATGGTTAACAAAGAACATAGCATGGCACATTACAGATTTAAGGAATCCAGGCAATTATTCATTTACCTTTGGGCCAGGCAGTCCATGGGGTCCCTGAAAATAAAGATTCCATCTTTAATGAAGAAAATAAAGGTTTGTTGCCTTTTCTAGGTACAAGTTGCACCTGCATTTTTCTTTTTACAAAATAAATTGCAAGTGCCAATATAAATAATTGCACCGCTAAGTACCCCACTGGGGGAACAAAACAGGGAAACACATTTATACCCACAATTAATTTCTCCACTTCCTAAGAACTTTGGGTTAGGATCCAAATACAGGTCCAAAATCCAGGGCTTGGGTCCATCTCTAATAGTCATGTACTCTCAGCACTTTTATTAAGCAAGCATTACAATGTGGAGAGGGAAAGAAAGACTTACCATAGGGCCTGGTGACCCATGCGGCCCTGGTGGTCCTGAGGGTCCTATGATCTACATATAGAAAATGATGTCATTAGCTCATGTAGTGAAGGGATCTCCCTTGTAAATACAGGAAGTCAGACTCTTTCTCCCCAGCTCTCTGCTAACATCGTTTGTCACCATTCAGATGAAGAATACTGCAGAGTGCTGCAGTTGCTGGAGAGCACTTTAAAAAGTAACAGCATAACTTGCACATATATATGGCATCTTTAGCTTTGTACTTGGAGTGCTTCTCAGACGTGGCTATTATTTGCACTTAATGGACGGGGTATCTGAGGTACAGAGAGAAAAAAATGACATGTCCAAGGTCATACTTCAGGTCAGATGCGGAGCTACAAACAGAATACAGGGTCTCCTGACTCCCAGTCCTCCACTCAAACCATTAGATAACTTTAAAACACTAGCTAGTAGTAAACTTCTTCAAATGCTGTTGGCTCTTTTATTTTCTGGTACATATTCCCTGCTACACTTGCAATCTATATACTACAGGAATAGCGAAGAATGCTGGGATGCCATTCCCTGGTTCCTTTCCAATCCTGATCAATGGAGATAAAACTAAACAATTTACCTTAAGTCTTGGGACATATCTAGATTGCCCTCTTCCTCCCTTTTTATTTGATTTAGTCCAACAAGCACTACTTGCACAAATGTTCAGGCTTAATCCCAATGATGAAGTCATTACAACAGGTAATCAGGTTATTCAGTTTTCAGCATGTGTTCATTACATGCTGGTTTACTTTACTGATCCCACCAAATCCAGAAATAAGAATTTCATTCTGGTATTTATAATGTTTAACACCACTTCTCACACTGGGCTCAATCCAAAATAGCTATGAATTGTGACTTATGAGAGCAGTACTGAGAGCTACCAGGAGGGCTGCCGAGCAGCACAGCCAGTTCTAGGGTTTAACATATAGCGCTAATCACTTTTCTAGACAAACCTCTGAGGTTAAGTGTGGTGTCAACAAAGCAGGTTTTAAAATATAAAATAGGACGAAGAGAGAAGGGTTGATAATGGATGGTGGGAATCTGTCCTGGAAGTGGAGAGGAGTGGGATGGAAAAGAAAACAAGGACGATTGCCATGGCTGTTTTCTCTGGGGGATAAGCCTTTTACAAAAACACTACTAGGAAATTCAGCAAGATCTTTGTGTTCCACACACACATAATGTTGGAAAGAAACTAATTGATTTTCCCTTCAGAGCTAGATTGAGACATTTGTGCTCTGTAGTGAGAAATGGGATCTAGAGATGCCAGGACAGGGAGCCAGCAACTCTTGAATTCTTATCCTAGCTCTAATATTGGCTGCCTGTTGTCTTGGACAAGATGCTTAACCTCTTTGCTTCAGTTTCATGATCTATAATATTGAGCTGATGGTACTTACCTATATCACAGGAGCCTTGTGTGAGGTTTTTATTTATGTTTGTAAAATGTTTTGAAGAGCCACATATATGTCTGATACTGCAAACACTTACTCATGTGAGTAATTCTGAATATTTCCATGGGACTATTCATGCCAGTAAAGATGCACCCCTGAAGCCATTAAGGACCGGATATAATGCTCAACCAAATCAATGGGAGTCCTTCATTTGACTTTAATGGGCTTTGGATTGGGGCCTACTATCATTATAGCCCTTTGGAGATCTGGTACTCACTGTACAAGGCTGACAGATAGATAAACAGATTGCTGAGACAAGAAATTCCCATCAGTCTTAACTCTCTGTCTTATCTCTCTATGATTCAACACAAGAAGGGATGGTTTCTATTCTCAGTGAAGCCAATGGGAGTTTTGTCAATGACTTATGTAGGGGGTCTGGATTCTTATATAGTTTTTAAAACATAGTATAGGGCTAAGTTAGTGAACTAGTGACCTACTTTCCAGAAGTCTGTATAGAGCAGTGATTCTCAAATTATTGTCCATCAGTGGTCTCCTTTGCCCACCGCGGTCGATCATAGAGTGAAACATTTAAACAACCCAAAAGTAGGAAACTGTTGGGGTTGGTAGGAGAGATCATCCATGAAGGTCCCTCTTTCTCTCATATGAAGTGTCCCTCAGAATGAAAAGGTGGAGAACCACTGCCACAATAATGAGCACATCACAATAGCATGGCAAGACTTACAGAAGGACCTTGAGGACCAGGCAAACCAACATCTCCTTTTTCTCCTTTCATACCATTGGCTCCCTATAAAATCATTATAAAGAGTTATTAAACAATTTCTGTCTTATTAACAATTGAATTCACTGTAGAGAAAAGAACATTTTTGTAATTAAAAATTTATGCTTTTCATAATAAAAGTTTTGCTTGTAACGGAATTGTATCTCTAACTGTCATGACTTTCATACTTGACACCATGTATTATAAATGTACGCTTATTGCAAAATCCCATGATAATAGCCAGTAAGCACTAGACTATCAAACAATTACAAATATTAATTTTAACTTGCATGGTTAAAAATATAGATAGAGCAGATAGCAAGGAGTTTATTAAAAGTTCTTTGTATTGTAATATACTGATTTCATTATACATTGTGGAGGGGTGTGTGTGTGTGTGTGTATACACACTCATTATTCATGATTAATGAATTATCAAAAAAATTAATCATGATTAATTGCAGTTTTAATTGCACAGTTAAACAATAGAAAACCAATTGAAATTTATGAAATATTTTGGATGTTTTTCTACATTTTCATATATATTGTAGTCAGCGTTGTAACTGAAATCAAAGTGTGTATTATTTTTTATTATAAATATTTGCACTGTAAAAATGATAAAAGAAATAGTATTTTTCAATTCACCTCATACAAGTACTTAGTGCAATCTCTTTGTCTTGAAAGCAAAACTTACAAATGTAGATTTTTTTGTTACATAACTGCACTCAAAAACAAAACAATGGAAAACTTCAGAGCCTACAAGTCCACTCAGTCCTATTTCTTGTTCAGCCAATAGCTAAGACAAGCAAGTTTGTTTACATTTACAGGAGATAATGCTGCCCTCTTCTTATTTACAATGTCACCAGAAAGTGAGAACAGGTGTTCGCATGGCACTTTTGTAGCTGGCATTGCAAGATATTTACATGCCAGATATGCTAAACAGTCGTGTGGCCCTTCCTGCTTTGGTCACCATTCCAGAGGACATGCTTCCATGCTGATGACACTCATTAAAAAAATGCGTTAATTAAATTTGACACTGAACTCCTTGGGGGAGAATTGTATGTCCCCTGCTCTGTTTTACCTGCATTCTGCATATATTTCATCTTATAGCAGTCTCGGATGATGACCCAGCACATGTTCATTTTAAGAACACTTTCACGGTAGATTTCACAAAATGCAAAGAAGGTACCAATGTGAGATTTCTAACTGGACCAAGGCTTAAGAATCTGAAGTGCCTTCCAAAATCTGATCAGGACAGGGTGTGGAACATGCTTTCAGAAGTCTTAAAAAAGCAACACTCCGATGTGGAAACTATAGAACCCGAACCACCAAAAAAGAAAATCAACCTTCTGCTGGTGGCACCTGACCTAGATGATGAAAATGAACATGTGTCAGACAGTACTGCTTTGGATTGTTATCGAGCAGAACCTGTCATCAGTATGGATGCATGTCCCCTGGAATGGTGGTTGAAGCATTAAACAAGAAGCGGGCAGCGTTGTCTCCTGAAAATGTAAACAAACTTGTTTGTCTTAGCGATTGGCTGAATAAGAAGTAGGACTGAGTGGACTGCAGACTCTAAAATTTTACACTGTTTTATTTTTGAATGCAGGTTTTTTGTACCTCATTCTATATTTGTAAGTGCAACTTTCATGATAAAGAGATTGCACTGCAGTACTTGTATTAAGTGAATTGAAAAATACTATTTCTTTTGTTTTTTTACAGTGCGAATACTTGTAATCAAAAATAAATATAAATATAAATATAAAAATAAATATAAATACTTTTTATTCTATGTTGTAATTGAAATCAATATATTTGAAAATGTAGAAAACATCCAAAAATATTTAAATAAATGGTATTCTTTTACTGTTTAAGTACGATTAATTACGCGATTAATCCCGATTAATTTTTTTAATTGCTTGACAGCCCTAGTATCTGTATGTATATATATACATATATATACACACACACTCACATACACCCCCCCCAAACAAATATACATAGCATATATTATATAGATTTAAAATCCTTCTATAAACACAAAAATAGACTTTCTCTCCTTCAAGAATATGAGTCAGCCACTGAGATTCCCGGTATCAAGCTATTTCTTGTGTAATCAAGCAGCTCATTTCTCCTGAATGTTACCACATTTATTTTTGTCAAAGCACTGCTGTGATTGATGACTCTTACAATGGACAAATAAATTTGTTCAGCATACCAGTTAATCTACATCTTTCCACATTTTATTTGCCCATAAATAGAATGAAAAGTTCTGGCAAACAACTTTTGGTCTATTATTCATGCCTCCTCCTAGTCTAGAAATGGAACTACTAACACTTTCATTTTATGTTTTCTGCTACTTCTGAAATGTACAAACACTTAAGAATTACCAAATGTGGAAGATATCATTAAAAAACCCAAATTAGCTTTCAGCTAAATTAAATTGATTTTGCGAACTTACTGGTAAGCCTGGAAGTCCAATTCCTCCCTTTTCTCCTGGCATGCCAGACTCACCCACGTCCCCCTTTGAGCCTTTAGGACCCTGAAAAATCATATCTTTGTCATGAAAATGACTTATACAATGCTCACATATCAATAAAATCCTGGATTTGTTTAAGGATAAACCAGTAAAACATAGAGTGACTTTTTGCCTCTGATAGGTATGAATTTATTATTGCATCACTGCATAGTCACTGCATGTGTCACATATGGCCATGTCATGTGACTATGAATTCTAAAGCCCACCCCTTCCAGAATGTACAGTAACATTATTTCTAAAAAAAGCCATAATTGTTCATAGGGTCTGGCCCTAGGTGATGTACTCATGATGTACCTGCTCCCCTTCAGCTCCTGGAGTTCCTTGGGATCCTGGTTCACCCTGTAAGACATAAGGTGGAATTGCGTTATCTTCCCTTATTACTCCAATTATTGGAGAGATTATGCTGTGCTAAGTAAATTATGTTGGTCAGTAATACCCCAAACCCCACACCTTAGCAGTGCACGACAGCACAATGAATGACGTAGCTGCATATTACACTGCAGAGAATAGGAGAGAGACATGTCAACTTGTTGTGGAAGTTTATCTGCTACAGTATCTACATACACAGAATACTTACAATGGGCCCTGCCCAACTAGATTGTGTAAGGCACAGAAAGGGGTATAAATTGACTGCACACTGGCTAACTTACACAGGAGAAAAATTCCACCATCCTCCCAAAAAACACCCACTCTGCACCATTAAAGTCAAATGGGAGTTTGTCATTCACACCAATGAACATAAGATTAAGCTCATGAGCAGTGGTTTAGGATGCTCAACAATGTTGCAGCCTGGGTGAATAAATATGGACGACTCAGACCCTTTATGATTTCTTGCCTGGCTAATCTGATTGTGTCAGTCAACCAGGGAAGAGCCTCCCTACCCCAGTAGAATGTGGGAAGATGCCCTGATTCCTGAATGTCATTCCCAAGAGAGGAGATGACATATAGGGGAGTTGGGGTCGGATCTTTGGTTCCAACCTCTTTAAGGCTGAATTCTGGTTTACCTTGGCTATTTCTGAGGGGGAAAGTATCCTCTTTGACAAGGAAGCCACGTTCTGCAACTGTAGCCCCAGAGTTTCAGAAACCCACCCCTGACTGGGAGCTGCAGAGACTCTGTAGGCTACACAGATCCTACTGAAATGTCTTTCTATGCCCTCACATATACTGTCCCTCACCAGTTTGTGAAAACCAGAAAGACAGTATTTTCTCACAAATGCTTGCATTGACTCACTTACATCTATACTGGCATTTGGTGAAAAACCTTTAAATGCAAGAACAATTTTTGATAAACCAAAAATAATGCATTTTCCCATGATATCATGGGATGGGATGCATCATAAATTTAAAACAAATGGCATTGTTTCCAGTGTGGGCTGCACAAGAGAGTATTTGCTCTTCACGAGAGCTCATAATCACTGAGAGAGTTTGCTGCTACCCAAACAGGATATTCTGGAGGATACATTATATGATAAGCTCTTAAGAACTACAATAATTATCTCTTATTTAATCCTATCTGGATAGGTTAGCTATCCTGCACCAGCTTAGGGAGGATCCACTGTTCACTCAACATATTCTGCTTTAAAAAAAAACAACCCCTTTGTAAGTGTAAGCAATTCATGATTTAGATTGTATAAACAGAGCCCCATTTGGAAAATGCATAGCATACAGCTCCTATATGCTGCACTTTAATGTGTGCATCATCATACAGAAAATATAGAGACTATTCAAATTTAACCAAATTTTGTTTTGCAATTAATAAATGTTAGCTAATAAGACATCTTCTATATGAAAAATACATGTAGACAGAGAAACAGACAGCTAGACTCTGTTCTATTTTGTGTGGGTTTACTGGAGTGGAAAAGGGAACTTCCTCCACTCTTGCATATCCCTGCAAATACAAGGCAGAATATGGTCTTAGTTGTCTTGAATGCCATATATGGTGTTGGCCTGATAATGCTCCACAGCACCAAAGAGATGGGATCAATTGGCTTGGGATTGCAGCCAGTCTCCTGGCACCCTGTGCACATATTGATCTTGGTGGCAAGTCAGGGGAATAGAATATGCTGTTCCTTTTTGGAGCAGCAGTATAGCGTGCTGCAGGAATCAGTGTTTTTCCTCTTTCTGGTGCATATATATGATACAAAAGCTGCATTAATCTGTCCCCATATTTTGGCAAGCACTTCCATATACAGCCCCCAGTGCAGATTATTTCTGCCAGCCAAGAGTGTGAACAATCTGGATGTTGCTGTGTGCATGGGAGCCATTGTCTGGTGAAGTAGCTACTTCTAAAAGTATGTGGATCACCCTCCCTGACCACTAGGCCATACCTTGGGACCCTCCTCCACAGCAGAAGGCCTACAGAGCAACCTCAATGCAGAGTTGGGAGGGAACACCAGCAGTGCACCACATTGGCTGAGCATGGGTGATTTTCTATTGGGCATCAATGCACAACACCCAACCAAAAGTGTACATATATTGAAATAAACATTTTATACTAATTAAGATGCATATCATGATATTAGTCCCATCATGTAATATTTTCAAGTGTATATGCTCGTCTATGCAGTATATTTTACTGGCAATTTTGAAAAATTGGAAAAAATCATTTTGGGTTAAATAAAACATTTTGTTTCATTTTTGAGCATTTTTTTCATTAAAAAAAATTAAAGAAAATTTTGAGAGGAAAAGTAATTTGAATACAAAAGTTGAAACATTTCATTTAGAAAATCTCAAAATGAAACATTTCAATTTTTATAGAATTTTGTTTAGCTTCTTTTCTGACCAAAACAATTCGGTAAAATCAACATGAATTTGCAAAATGTTACAGTGTCATCCAATCTACATTTTTCACCGGAAAAAAGTTTTAGTCAAAAAATTTCACCCAGCTCTGCTAGTGAATTCCTGGACTTTTATAAGAGGATGTGTTAACTAAGAAAGATCACCTTTGGTCCTTGTGCTCCTTGAGGTCCGGGTGGCCCTGGTGGACCCTAGACACAGAAACAGAAACAGAAAAATCTGTTAGCTTTGAACCATCTAAGCTCTTGCAGAACATATCAGATACACATAAGTGTGAACATCACCATTGTTAAAAACACAACCAGTCTTTTTAAGAAAACTTTATTAACACGGGAAGAACCAACACCAGCTACAAACAGGTTGTTAATTTATGACAACTCTCAACAGACAATATGGAGTCACAAAAACCTGTGTTAAAATAACATTTCATGGTTATGGTTTTGAACTTATGAAGGGGCTGCTGCTCCTATTGATGGAAATGGCAAAGCTTCCATTGATTTCAGTGGGAACAAGACTGAATCCCAAAGTACGAAAAATGTAAAGCTGGCATCAGAGCCTACTGAAATCAATGGACAAACTCCTGTGTTCAGTGCTTTGTGGGATGAGGTCATGAGTCATTAACTCATCCCCTTTTGGCTAGCAACTGTAGCAGAAACAGCCTATATGATTGCTTACTGTTCTGAAAAGCTGCACAATGGGGGGATGCATTAAAAACACACAAATTCCATCACTATTATAACAACATTTACAAAGATGGCAAAACAGGCCTAATGAAAATGTTAGAGATAAACAATTAAACAAAAAAGGGAATAAATTAATTTGATCAAATCTGCAGCTCCTTTGGAGCCTAATTCTGCAAAATTCTAAGTGTGTCCTATGACACACTGGGTCCCCTAAGTTTCTAGTGAAGTCAAAAACTCTGGCCCAATGTGTATAAACCTCCAGTGGGAGTCAGTGAGAGTGCAAGGCATAGAAAATACTCCGCACTCTGCAGGATGTGAGCTGTAGGTACTGGAAAATTTCAGTATTTCATATGACAAGTTCTTTTAACAGTGTCTGACAAGAAAGAGAAGGAGAAATCATCACACTAAATCCCTCTCCTGTATTCCTGCTTATAAACTGAAATAGGCTACTTTTTAGGGGGAGGGGGGAAGGTGAACTTCTGTGTAAAGTTTTCACCCAATATGATTTAAAATAACTGAACTGTCTGCCCTGAAAAATAAGGCTGACAACAGAAAGTTAACTGGTGCCCAATCCTATACTTCTTGCACACTCAGAACGCCCATTTAAATTAATGAGAGATTTGAGAACAGAGCAAATGAAGGATCTGGTGCACAGAGACAGCAATACTAAGAACCTTACATGTCTAATCTGTCTTGCACTTCTATCAATGGAGTTTTGTCATTATTCGATAGGAAAAGAATCTGGCCCTAGTTTTCAACAATATGTTCATTGTAAGGAAAAATTTAGTGAACAGACACATACATGATGATGAACAGGGTCAAAATCAGATGAATGAAGATACATCCTAAATCAGCTGAATTATGAACATGCAACTACACAGAATAAAATAGCTACAAAGCACAATAAGTCATGCAGTAAGAATTACCGTGACAGTTAGGGTGGTAATCCTCTGTTGGCAAAATATATTAACAAAAGACAATGTTATCAGATGTGAATACTGAAATAAAATATTTCACTTGTTTAATAATGAACTTCACAGAATCTGTGCTGTGTCTGGGAGATCTGTATCTTACATTGGAGTTTTATATAAGTGAAGACTACAGGCTCTGGCTATAAAATTTTCAGGTCCAAATAAGATGTACCATAACAACAGTAGAATTTGATGGGGGAAAACTTTTGGCTCCTATACATAGCTATATATTAATCTTCCACACCTCTCCTGTTCTAAGAGCTGTTATTTTGCCCAATATTTTGAGGTCTCTGCTGGTTCTGTGTCATTAACAAATACAATTCCCAGAGCTGTGATGCAGGTAGTAATAACGGTACACAAACCAAGTTGCTGATCCACAATATCAGCCATCTTAACTTCAGCTCCATTTAAAACATTTGGAGGAGGGGCAGATCAATATTTTCATAATGGAAAAAGGGAAAATAGTTAGATTGGTAATTTTTTGTGTTTCAAAGATAGAATAAAACAAAAAGTAGTGAAAATTCTCAAAAGGCAATACAAAATTACTTGGTTGTATTGTTTAAACATAGTCAGGGCTGAATTGTGTTTAATTTACTCATACAGGTTTTTTCATTGACAGCAATGTGACCACCTGCACAAATAAAGTAGGCAGTATTTAGTCATGAAAATGCTTTTACTATGTGTCAGCAAAGATGTTTATACATCTAATGTGTCTATCTAAATGTAAGATTTAGTCTTATTCAGTTTAATAGGCATATAATCATACACTATTTTATAGAGAATAGCACAATAAAGAACATTTTTTTATAAAACTAGAATCATATCAACACAAGCTAACTTTGGAACCAAAATCTCTAGCAGATGGCATTTTATATGGTGGTGCATTTGCATTCACCCTATATATGGAAGTATTTAAAGAATTTTAAAATGGAAGAAAAATTCAATTCTGCTAATTTACAGGACAAATAACTAAATTAATTATACCAAATGCAGTAATTTACAGTTTTCACATTCATTTCTAGCTATATATTTAATTTAATTTTCAGTGTTCATTTCTAACTATATATTTAAAATTTTAATACATAAAGCACCTGATCCTGCAGTTCCTCCAAAGGTAAAATTTCCACTTCAGCTATTCGCTTTTGTCTCTGTGAGGACTAGGAGCAGACCCAAAGAGAGACTCACTTATGTATTTTGTGTCTGGTCCTCTAAGTCAAAGATACATAAACTCTGCAGGGTTCTTGCTTGAACTGTGGTGATAATTTCTATACCATCGTTTTCTGTGTTGATGGACTAAGATGTCTCATTCTCCAGTGACACATGAAATGCAATGGGAGGCACAAACTTGAACAACTGTAAATTGGTCTGAGTCCTCCAGGCTTCTTTATGATGTCTTCCCAAATTGTATAAAAATTCATTCAGACAGAGGGACTGGATCCTGTGAACTCTGTCAACTTCTACTTACATTCTGAGAGGTACTGAGAACCCACTGAATACTGAAAATTCCTACAAACTCCTATTTAAGTTAAAAGTCCCAGAACCTCCAAGAATTTGGCACAATGAAAATTGCGGGTGAGTGCTTCCATCTCATAGGACTGAACTGGTAGTTAGCAAGACCACCAAATACCATTCTCATAGCTTGCAAGTCACCCTGATACACTTGGCTTTCATGTGAACATTCACTCACCCTTTATGTAAAACACTTATTTTTCTAGGGCTGAGTAAATAAGGCGGCCAATGCTTAAGTCTATTTAATATATTTACTGCTAAGGATCCTAATTCAAGATGCTGATTGAATCCACAGCTTGCTAATGGAGTCAAGTGAGTTGGTTTCCAAACCTCAAAGTTTCTGCTCTTTACATTTTGTGGAAAGAGTAAGAGGAGGAGGAGAAGAAAAAGACAAAGACAAAGAGAGACGGTCAATATTATTCTACTTGAACTGAAAAGCAGACACTTCTGTGGGATCTGTGTAAGTGGTTTATTAGATGAATTCAGCACTAAAAGCTGTGGAGCCAGCAGTGAATCAGTTCTGTCCTCATCAGATGATGTCAATACAGTCCAAGGAATATATAGAGCTAATTCCCTCACCATTGCATCAAGGAAACTCTTTGTCTAACACCAGCAAGAAAATCTAGCTTCCAAGCACAAGAGATTCCTAATTAATATTTCCAGCAAATCTTTAAGATACTATGGTGGAGTAATTTCATGTCCTGTGCAAAACAAAAGTATAATTATGCCAAAGAGTTGTTCTTTCAGTATTTAATTATTTGAGCTTCTTTATGCTCACATACCTGCAGAGCTTCATGGATATTGCCATTGTAGTCAATTATCTCTGTTGCACCTTGATCTCCCTTTTGTCCAGGCGGGCCCTGTAACATATCACCCAAACACTACATTATTTGAATCAAGCACACAAACTCTTAGTGACTGATTGTTCTATCCTCGTCTCTCTTAGTCTGTCTGAGACTGTTTCATTCTATAATCAGCATTTGTTTGAAAGATCTCCCTGCGCTGAAAAGTTCAGGGTTGCTAAGATCCAGGTTTTGGTTGGCCCACGATAGAGATTAGAACCAGAAGCAAAGTTTAGATCTGAATCTTGTGTTTCCATTTGGGCCCCATAACTCATTAGTTTCTTTCTCATATTTTTATATTTTAATTAAAGAGGTTTTCAGAAGCGTGAAACTCATTCTATGAAAAGAAATATTGACCCAAGCCTCTTTCACATTGCAGCTGAGTCTGTGCTAGCAACAATGCTATTTAAACACAATTATCGTAAGCATGTTTTCTGTACGGTTTCCATGACGTACTGTAGAGAAGGGTTGTTTTCTGACACTTGCACTATTTATTCATTCACATTTGTTCCCTGAACTTTTTTTGTAGATCTTGGTACAGTACATTTTATCATTTTATAGCATTTTCAATGAATCACAGACTGCAAAAGTTAGTCTAAAACCAAAGGTTGTTTTAAGAGGAACAAACATTTTAAAAAACATAAATATGAATGAGTAAATCATAACACAGTGAATTGTGCTCCAAACAGTAACACCGCTATATAAAACTATTTAGATAAAACACTGAAAGAAGGTGCTGTGTCAGGCCTACTCTCTTGGATCATTCAAGTAAAAACCACACCCCACCTATGAAATTTTGCAAATCTCAAACATCATCGTCCAATCCAGAATCCCGCTATCCTCTCAGGCAGCTTCCCAATCAACTCTCTCCCTTCCTTAGAGAAAGTCTGGGGGAGAGGGGATCTTCCAGAAAGGTGGGATCCAGACAATTTAGGATTTTATAAGATAGATCCATACCAACACTTTAAACTTCACCTGGAAATCAAGTGATTGCCACAGCAGAGCAAATATTTGCCAAACAGCACTGAAGGATGACTAATCTTCTATGCAGTGCTGTTGTAGCTGTGTCGATTCCAGGATCCTAGAGTGACAAGGTGGGTGAGCTCACACAGAGCTCAAAAACTTGCCTCTCTCACCAACAGAAGTTGGTCCACTAAAAGATATTACTAATCTTCTAGGCATCTAGAGTATGATTTATAACATAGATTTCCCTGTTGACACTGAACTCCTGTTAGAAACCCTCTTCATGCCACAACTATGTTACCAACAATCATGTTTAACCATAGCTGGTGCTAACTCACTTTCACCTGTAGTTGTTGATGTGGCCTACATGTAACAATTGAGATTTCCATTGGACAGGTTAAAATGAAGTACACTTACCCTAGGACCTATTGCTCCTGAATCACCTTTGTCTCCAGGATGACCCTATGGAAAAGTAATATTCGTAAGCAAAAAAATATAAACAATCTGTCCAATAGTTTTTATTGTTGGTAGTTTAAATATTTTTATTACTGTCCAAGTTGAGCATATACTTTATTTTAAAAAACAAAACAAAAAAACTTGACATGGGTTATAAACAAATAGAATATGGGTTTTAGTTACATAGGGTAACTCCACTGAAGTCAATGGAACGTAAGGATTGAGACTGTTGCAACTGAGAACAGAGTTTGGCTCTTTGTATGTAGCATTTACTATATAATACATTACCGGGGTTGCTTTGGAAATAACAAAGGATCAAATAAAAGGCAGACTGCAAATTCAGTCATTTAAACAACTTCCCCATTCTTGATAGCATAGATACCCCACTATCAGAAGCTTTACAAGAAAGCTCAAGGGGTAAGTCATTCAGGGTATGTCTACACAGCAATTAAACACTTGTGGCTGGTCTGTGTTGCTGACTCAGGCTCACAGGGCTTGAGCTGCAGGGCTGTAAAATTATGGTGTAGATGTTTGGGACCCTCTCCCCTCACGGAGTCCCAGAGTCCAAATTTCGACACTGCAATTTTACAGCCCCACAGCCCAAGCCCTGTGAGCCTGAGTAAGCTGACCTGGACCAGCCACGTGTGTTTAACTGCTGTGTAGACATAACCCTCAGCAATTGCCACACAACTTCTTCAAAAGGGATTTTTCAAACCACACATGCATTTCTTTGTGTGCTCATTATTCCCATTGGGGTTGCAGAACTTCTTTCCTCAGCCACTGCCTCTCTGACCACCACATCATCGTTGTCAACATGTAATGATTTCTTTGCCCTAGTATCCCAGATGGAATAAAGATCTTTATCATCTCACTCTCATCTTTTTCCTCCTGGCTGTCACTAATAAGCTCAGAAGGGTGGAGAAAACTTTATCCATAAGGGCAAACTCTGTGAGTGAACCTTGTCTTCAGAATCTGAAATCTAGTGCTTGGGACTTATTTCACATTCACAGTCACGTCCACAACAAACTTTCTTGTTTGTCAGTCGTGTCAGTAAATTCAATTAAATACTGCTACTCTTACTCCTGTTTGGATCTATACTTGCTTTTGTGATTCTGGTATGGACAAGGATTATTAATTCACTGATGATACGAGAAAAAAAGAGAGGTGCATAGTGGGAGGAGATACTAACATTTCTGCCATCTGGCTCTATATCCCATGTCATCTTCTCTGCAACAGGAGAGGGCTGGTGGACATGTGGCTAGGGCACTGGCGTATTGCTTAAAAATCTGAGTTCATTTCCCTGTTCTTCCACACAGTTCCTGTGTAAGTCTGGGCAGTCACGTAGCCCCTCTGGGCCAGATTTCCAAAGGTATTTAGTTGCCTAAAAATGCAGACGGGTCCCTCGATAGATTTTCAAAAGTGCTCAGGTGACTAAGTCCCATTGGGAATTAGGTGACTAATCTGCTCAGGCACTTTTGAAAATCCCATTGTGCACCTTTCTGCATCTTTAGGTGCCTCAATACCTTTGAAAACTGGTCAGCTGTGCCTCGGTGGCCTTTCTCTGAAAGGGGAATAAAAATAATACTTCTCTACTTCATTGCGATGTTGTGTGGGTACCCACCAGAATATCAGGGAGGTGATCAGATACTACAATGATGGAGGTCTCAGAAGTAGTGCTTATCATCTCTCTCTCTCTCTCTTTTGACAAGCAAACACCTTTATCAACCTCCCGCCCCTCCCAAGGGCTCCCTTTTGTGAAAGTCAATGCTGACAACCTATGGGTGAAAAGTGCTACTAAGATCATCCTGCACACACTGAATTTAGTGGTGAAAATTCCATTGACTTGGTGTAGGATCAGGCACTAAGGCCAGGTCTACACTACAAAGTAAAGTTGACCTAACTTACGTCAGCATACAGCTGCCACAGTAATTACATTCCCTGCGCGTGTCTACACTTTGCTTCTTGTGTCGGCGGTGCACGTCCTCAACAGGAGTGCCTGTTTTGATTGTGGGATGGCTCCTGAAAGCCAGTAACAGCCAACGGAAGCAATGTGTTCTACACTCACGCTGTGTCGATCTAATTACATTGACCTTGACTCCACACTGCTTGTGGAGGTGGTGTTATTAAGTTGGTGTGGCAGGCGAGTTACATCAGTGGGAGCAAAAATTAAGCGTAGACACTTCCATAGTTACATTGACCTAACTCTGTAGTGTAGACAAGACCTAAAAAAACACATTATTCTGTGAATAATATTCCAGTGGAGACCAAGTTCTTCAGCATAAGGAGGAAAAGAAATCAGGAGTATTTAATTGTTGTTTACACCACCTTGGTTCTGTGAACCACTTTTTATATTTTATTATTCACTATGAGCATATGCTTAACTTTGTGAAGTCAATGGGACTGAAGCACTTACTTAACTTTAATTGTGTGCTTATGTGTTTTGCCAAATGGAGATATACTGCCAATTGAGGGTTGACATTGCAAGCAATATAGAAATGATTCTCAGCACAGCTTTGTTCTCTCAAAGTCATTTAATTAAACAAAAGAATAAATATTCCAGTTTTATTTTGTGTGGACCTCATAGTATAAACTGGCAGACACTAGTAAGATTTTGCAAAAAATATTGCAAATCCATTGAAAATTTTTACTTCCACTGATTTTGTATACACTATGGTATTGAAGCTTTAACTTTTTGCCAAGGTCCTTGGTAGTTTTTCAACTATCTAGAAGACAAATCTGAGACACCCAAGCCTGGTACATCTCATGCCCAAGATTCAAAATAAACAGCCACGAACCCCCTACAAAACATCAGCAGAATAACAATAAGAAATTATATTTAAATCAAATACTTTTCAATGGCTATTGGATCAGCAAAAGGTAGAAAGTACCAATTTTAATAGCTCTTTCCTCCAATCCCAAAGAAAATGGATTAAAACACAACTGTCAAACAGAGAGAGATAAAGCAGGTACATGGAAAAAGAGAACAGACAAAAAAAGAGACTAATCATTTTAAGATGTTACAACAGAGAAAGAAAGAGCACAATCATGGTGTACAAAATATATAGCACTTGATTCTGCAGACCTTACAGTTAAAAAGCCCAGTGAAATCCCTGGGAGTTTTGCTTGTATGAAGCCTGCAGGATCAGTTATCATTTCTTTCTAGATCAAAGTTGATGTGATATTACTAATAATTTGCCCTGGAAATCTTCATGTTACACCAAAAGAGGCAATTCAGTTGACACTGACCTTTGACCCCTTTGGGCCTCTAGTTCCAGATTCGCCTGATTTCCCCTGTGTGAGGAAGACATAGAAGATGGGCAGAAGAAAAAAGAGAGAAAGGAAAGAGCAGAGGAAAAGAGAAATTAGTTCTGGCTATTAGTAGTAGAGAGCAGTGGAAACACTTTATTTTCTATGAACAACCTCATGAATCCATCTAGTTTAGCACCCAGAATAATGAATTAGGATCAATGCGCTCACACTGTCGGTTCCCTTCTTCCACAGGAATTCCACCAACTATTCTCTTACTGATTCTTGCAGACGGCTGGCACAAATAATTTTGCCTTGCAGGGGGTGCCAACTGTACTGCTAGGCCCACCAAGAACTGAGAGGTTAATAGACCCGCTAAGTGTTTACAGGATAGTACTGCTAAAACAAAGTGTTACCACAACAGTTTTCCCAGGAAGTATAGATGAATAAAAATCTACCTGACAGAGAAGCCGGACAACCATTTAAAGATATGCTAAGAGTAGAAAACTTAAGCACCAATCCAGTAGAAAATGCTCGGAAGATATTAAAATGTATTGAGGATTATTTCTTTATTTTTTCTTACAAAATTAGAAAACAAGAAGCAAAATGGATTTTCTCTGAACTTGAAAGGTCACAGTGTTCAAAAAGCTCAAACTAGGGTGCTTATAGACACATCAGGGCAGAGCTTCATCTTTTGTCAATTGCCATAGCTCCATCACAGTTTCTACCATCTGAGGATCTGTCTCCTTCAGTCCAAACAATGGATTCCACTTAGGGCCTAATTCTGCAGTTCTGAACATTATACTACCACTGACTTCTGGACTAAACTGTCGGTATGTCTATACTGCAGCCGGAGATATAATTTCCAGCTCAGGCAGATGTCCACACACTAGCTGTGATTGATCTAACACACTAAAAATAGCAGTGGAGCCATGGTGGCAGAGGCTAGCTGCCTGACTAGTAGCAGTGTACAGGGATGAATTTACCTTGTTCTCCTTTAAAGCTCATTTGCAAAGTTTTGTTCTGGTTATTCGAAGCAATTATTGAAATGCCAGTGTTAAATCAGGCTGACCTTTGGCCCAGGAACTCCAGGTTCACCTCGCTCACCCTTTCCAGGAGGCCCTGCTTCTCCTCTTTCACCCTGTCAAAGATTACAACACACATGTATGTACGCATCACAAACCACAGGCAACCTTTAGTATAGTACAAAGTCAGTTCAGAAAAACTAAATAGGATGTACTTTCAAGCTCATGTGAGAGCTATAATGAGATGGAGAACATTTTTCCTAGGTAAATTTACAGCATTCCTGAAAGCAGAAGTGGATGTTTTCTGTAACTTAATCTGAGTCATTTTCCGTTGAACAAGACTGTATTATCTGAGAAACAGTATGTAACAAAAGACCAGAATAAGACATAGACCGAAGGGAGCAAAGTTAAAGTAGTGCTGCCTCTTACTTCCCTTCTCACAATCCTGGGGTGAGTTAGTTCCAGTGATCTAAATGAGTGTAGGTCATGTGATGGGTAAGAAATGAAGAGGTGGCCTTTCAGGAGCCTATTGGCAGCCGGTGTAGCAAACAAATCACTTTTGCTGGCTCACCCTGGTTAGGTGAGCAGCTGTATTCTGCACAAGTGAGAGCTGTGGAGTGCTTTCCACACTTCGCCCAAGGTAAAGTTCATTGTAGTAGTCATATCTAGAAGTAATACAGGTGTAGAATACTGAGTTGGGGTCTGCATTTAAGGGGTGGGGATGGCTAATGAAGCAATTAGGGACTCTAGAAGCCTAGGAATAAATCATGTCCTCTCATAGAAAAGGACAGAAACAGCACCACTCCATAGTTAAGACTGAAACTTTCCATTCAAAGCTTGTTTTGCATTCTCCAGCATTACCTTAAAACACATACAACATTTTAAAAATGGAAAGTTGGCTTCAGAATTGGTCTGGAGTTCTGTTTTTTTCTTCCAAATCTGAAGTGAATGGGACAATAGGTTCACAAAATTTGGCTCTCAATTGGTGAGTCCACAAGACTTCAAAAATTCTTTTAACTTTATTTCCCACTCAGTTGCAAAAGAACAGACAGAAGGAGAGAGGAAGAACAATGTTTTTATTAATGGATTTATATATTCAAGATCTAGTGCACAGGATCAAAGGTTCATTGCTTGGAGTCCATTTCTTAATAGTTATTAAGATAGATTGTCCATACTGGCATGTTGGCTCTCATGGCCTAATTTAGGCATTCGGTAGCTTTAGAGAGGCTACGTTGACTAAGGCAGCTAAGGAGCTTGAGACGCCTATGAATGATTAAGTACTCTGACTTTCTGGTTTTCTCAGGGCACGCTGTAGGCCAATTTAAAGTAACCTGGGTACCCAAAGCATTAATTTTAATATTTCCAAATTTTGGGCATACTTTAAAGTTTTAACCTGAACTCTAAACTTTTTGGCAGTTTTTTTACAAGTACCACATTCTTATAAGGATTTTCATCCTTAAATGACTGATTATAGACCCTCAACTTCACTAACTTTTTTTTGGTCATTAACACAAAAGAACCCAATATAATATGGACGAGTGTGTGGTAGAAACTAAACTTACCTTTGTTCCTGGTAACCCTGGTAATCCAGGTTCTCCCTGTGGACCAATGAAACCTGGTTCACCCTTTAACAGATGAAAGCATATTAGATTATTCTTCATTTAATTGAAATTTATTACAATAAAATCAGTTTACTTTTAATAGTATTTTCCCTGATCCTTCAGGGATTTCCAGCTGTGATCCAACAACTATAGAGAGATTAATTAGGGATGATTAATTAATCAGGGATTATTTCCATCAGCATACTTCTTGGAGCAAAGCTTCACGTAGTTTGAGAAAAACAAACTTGAAAGCTGCAAATCTTGTTTTTATGAAGCTAAGGACTGTTAACATGACCCTAGATTACGATGCAATTTATGAAACAAAAATCCACCATGGCAAGACTAACATCATGGTGGATTCAGGGAGTAGATGGGGTGAAGTAGGTGGGCTTTCATTCCCTGTACCCTCCCTGCCCATTTATCTGCAGACCGGAATAACAGGTAAGTAGCCCCTGCTCTCTCCCACCATGGTCAGTCGCAATCTGAACACAGCTGAGTAGGGAGTAAGGAGGGTCTTGTCCCCTCTCACTCCCCTGCATGTCTAAGGAACAGCAGTGACAATCCGTTCTAGATTAGCAACTACACAAAGTTTTAAATAACTCTGTATGGTCTGTAAGGGACAAACCATATGTTTTTCTTTACAGGCTCTTTCTGAATGAGGCCTCATGGTTCCTAGCATTACATTTTCCCCCAAGAATCTGAATCAAGAAGAGGTTTAGCTATCATGAGTGCAGATGGCCAAAATACTACTGAGCTAACAATCACTTTTTAAAAAAATGTTCACATATAAGTTTTAGGGGTATCCCCGGAATCTAAGAACAAAAATTCTACTTGGCTCTATGCAGACTGATTCTTCTGGGCGCTGAGCACCCTCAGCCCCTGCTGAAGTCAGTGGGAGTTGGGGAAAAACAGCACCTCACAGCAGCAGATCATTAATGGCTTCATTTAAAAGAAATTACAAACACTTGCTATTTTAAATACCTAGAATGACAGACACATCCATATTCCTTGTTTACAAAATTATTTACATTGATAAAGGGAGACATATGGTTGAATAACTTTTAATTCCAATTAGAAAATAAAGGGAAGTATCAACTTGCTCATCGGCATGGAATTACAGGTATGGTGCACTGGTGAGAAAAACAGTGCAGGTTATGAACTCAGGGAGGTTTCTTGCATATTTACATATGAAAATCACTGCTATCATTGATCAATGTACCACTGGTGGTATGAAATAAAGGCCAGCATATCTGCTAAAGCACAAAAAGAGAGAGGGGGAAGCGAGGAAATTAGTAGGAAATAAATAATGCAGAAGCATGTATTTCTTAATGAGGTTAGAGGGTATGTTATAACAATAAAAATAATCCTATAGTTCACATGCTGTCTTTGTAATGTAACTGTGTTAGTGCATACCAGTGAGAGTAACCTTTGGGTATTCACTGTGGAAGGAGGCATTCCCTTTTAATGAAAAAAGCACTTCGCCTCCACAGCCATGGAATTTCAATAATTTATTTTAAAATTAGGAAGGAGCTTGACAGCTCAAAATTATTTTACAGCACACCAACACAAACTATCACCTGGTCAACTCGGCAGATTTATTACTTGACCTGTTAATTATGATTTCTAGGGGAAGAAACAAGTACTGATTCCATGACCCAACTTCTGTCTATCAGAGGCCAGGCTTAGAAATGTTATACAAAGATCTTAACAAAAAGCTTTTGGCTTGAATTCTGGCAGACCATTGTGCATAGGCTCATACCAGAAACTTCATACACTGTAAAAGGAGTGCTGGCAAAATCTTTCCACTGCAGTCCCAGCCTTCCCCCAAGCCTGGAGAGAGATTGCTCTACAGGTGCTTTATATCAGAAAACATGGAGGATATTGTACGAGGTCTGTGGTTTTACTTCCATGATCTGAGAGTGCAGGGTTTATATCGAGACCTGCTTTAATATTTTATCAAAATAGTTTTCTATAAATTGTGTAATATCCTTGGGCCTGGGATAGGTGTAGTGGGAAAATCGAAGTACATAAAAGGCTTCCACTTTCTCTCTTTATCTGGAAAGCTCAGCCCATCATATTCCTACTTTCCTTCTGGAGCAAGGCATAGGGGTGAGGCATTAATCTGTACAGATACACAACTATAACCCTGACCTGGGAATGACCCCTAAATATAACCCATCTGAGTGGTTTATTTGTGCTCATAAGGGGGTTCAGGGAAGCTCTGGATGGGCCTTCTGCCAGCCAGCATTCTGGCACCTACTATGACTGCTTTTGGGTCACAGATAGGAGTGTGTTTGGCAAATCATATGCTCATAGAATTATTCCTTTGTCTTTTACTTTTTCTTATTGTTCAGAAAAAAGTCCACATCTGTTTATGTTCCTGGATGATAAGTCACCTCAGCTCGTTTCAGTGATATCGTACTACATTTCTCAATGTAATAATATCACTGATGCAAACTGCTGGGGTGAGGAGGCTACAGTTTACAGACAGAAATATGGTTTACAAATACCTGTTGTGCCATTTTAAATAGAAAAAAAAAACTTGTTGCCCTCAAAAATACATAGGTTGATGTGCTTAGTGCCACATCTATGCGTGTTCATGTACTTTACTGTGCTGCCACCTGCCAGGGGCATGCCCCTTGTGGCTGTTCTCTGCCCCTCCCCCCCACTCCCCAATATCTTAAGGCCTCCTGTGGAGATTGGGTTGATACTTGCAAATGCCCTAAAAACTCCTGCAGCTAAAAAAAGGGAGGAATTAGGACATCAGCAGATGTTCTCACAGATTTCTGCTTCTCCAGAAGAGCAATCTGGCTTCTGGTGGCACTTCTGAATGTCTCAGCAGATTCAGCTTTGGTGTGGGGTCCAACCTTCACAGACTTACGAGCAACTTCACATGAAGGACAAAGTACCTTACCTCAAGCTTTTTGTCTAGTGTAGACATGTCTGAAATGTATAAAGACAAGGGCCAAATTCCAAACTCACATTATGCCCCGGACAGAAGTGGCAGATGTGCAGTACTAGTAGTGAGGGAAAATAAATCACATCAGATGAAGTGAGCTGTAGCTCATGAAAGCTTATGCTCAAATAAATTTGTTAGTCTCTAAGGTGCCACAAGTACTCCTTTTCTTTTTGCGAATACAGACTAACACGGCTGCTACTCTGAATCCAAGCTACTGTACTTGAGCCAAGAGGGAAGTGATAGATAGATAAAATGGAAAATTGATCTAATCACTACAGTTGCGAGGGGCCACAAAGCAGGGGAAGAAAAAAAAATGAACACAGCTCTGCTTATAGTCTTCCTAGATCATTGCTGGAGCATGGTTATATCTCTGTACTCAAGCACCAAAACCAGGAAGGGCACTGTGAACCCGGGACCTCTTGGTTCCAAATGGCAGATGGCATAGGGATGCATAAGGGTTACCGGGATCCCATTGGTCTGGTATCTACATACTATTTTGCCAGTGAGTGTCACATAGGTCTCTACTGAAAGCCTGTGTCACACTGGTCCTCATAATAATTGTGAATCTTATGTGTGGATAATATAAAAAGAGTTATGTATATCTACATTGATAATTATGTCCTTAAGGTCTGTGACTTGGGACTGGTCACCAAAAGGTGAGAAACAGATTTTTTTCAGGCAGAAGATGTTTATCTATCCGTCTACATGTACACTGATTATTGTATATGTCACGCCTAATTTTATGGTCTGAGCAAAATGCTTATCAAGTGACTGCAAAGTCTCCGGGGTAGATCCTAGACAGGAAAACAGATGCAGCAAGGATTATCCTGTTTGCAAGTGAAGACAATGGATTTTTGGACTACAACTGCAGAGACACAGACAAACTCCGGATCTTTCCACTGAGGAGTCAACATGACAGTGTGCTTCCCTCATAAATGGAAGATCACAGCCACACCTGGCTCTAATGTGCTGGAAGGATTTTGGGTGACCTTTTGCTCTGTATGAAATGACAATGACAGGAAGTTAAGTTTAGGCTCTAGCATGTGTGCTATGATTTTATTTTATATGTAACCCTTCGTTTCCAACATTTCAACTTGCTATCATTGAATCCCTGTTCTTTGTTACAGAAACTTGCTTTCTCAATAAACAAATCTAAGTGATGTGTGTTAAGCGAAGCTGTGTTCTATGGTGTAACTGGTAAGCTGTGGTGTACTGTTTCTTTGGGAACAGAGGACCTGGGAAGTCTGAGAGTGCCCAGTGGATCAGGGGCAGGGCACTCCCAGGAGATGCTTGGATGATGCAGGTGTTGGAGTATGCCTATTGTTGACCTGTACAGAGAGCAAGGCCTGTGGAGGCCTGGAAGGCAGTGCTTGTGTTGCTAGAAGCTGGCGGTGTCAGGGGAGCTGACCCAAGCAAGCATAGACAGGGCAGGTGGTAGAGAGGTGCACAACCCCAGGAACCCCTTGGGAAACATCAGGCACAAATGGAATATAATGTATTTTCAAGGAAATTCGCATGACCAAATAGGTAGCTTTAAATATAAGGTAAATAGGTAGCTGTTCAAATATAAGAGTGATTTGCGAACAGAACTAAGTTTCAAACTTTAAAAAAATCATTTTTTTAACAATATAATTTATACATTGTCTGTGTATCTCTAACATCTGCCAGCTCTTCAGTTTTCAGAGTAACAGCCGTGTTAGTCTGTATTCGCAAAAAGAAAAGGAGTACTTGTGGCACCTTAGAGACTAACCAATTTATTTGAGCATGAGCTTTCGTGAGCTACAGCTCACTTCATCGGATGCATACCGTGGAAACTGCAGCAGACTTTATATATACACAGAGAATATGAAACAATACCTCCTCCCACCCCACTGTCCTGCTGGTAATAGCTTATCTAAAGTGATCATCAGGTTGGGCCATTTCCAGCACAAATCCAGGTTTTCTCACCCTCCACCCCCCACACAAATTCACTCTCCTGCTGGTGCTAGCCCATCCAAAGTGACAACTCTTTACACAATGTGCATGATAATCAAGTTGGGCCATTTCCTGCACAAATCCAGGTTCT